TTAAAAAAACGGCTGCCTCACACTCTAGCTTTTCAGTCTCTCCACTCTAGAAGGGTGGATTTTGCTAAAACTTTGTGGTGCTTGAGGTCTGATTATACAAAAACCGTAGCAGTTATCAACATACCGTCTTCAGTTTTAAATAGACGAAGGATTTATCTACAAACTGAGCTTTAAACTGTTTTTCTACATGAATGTATGCCGACACAGTGAGGTGCTGTTTTTTATGCTTTTTTTCCCTCTCCCCATTCATTTCCTATGGGATTTTTTTTGCGACGTTTTCACTAATAATTCGCAAACCTTCGGACTAATGAGAAAGTTTTATACAAGCACGCATCGCACCATTGGTCCCTACGCGTGTGCCAACTTTGGGCCCGATCCGACGAATGGTGCGTGACTAGTTACACGCCGAAGTTTTTAGGGGACGAGGAGAACTATAAGCTATAATAATAATACGCGGAATAAATATGTGCAATAGTAATAGGTGGGCCATGCCTTCGGCATGTGGCCCCCCTAAATATTACTAAATCATCTGCATACATCAGGTGATTAAGTACCGAGTCACCAGCCACACAACCAGTGTGACAAGCTCTCAACTTGTGTGACAGTTCATCCAGATACAAGTTAAAGAGAACTGGGGACAAAATCCCGCCCTGCCTCACCCCATTACTAACTTTGAATGGAGCAGAGACACATTCCCCCCATTTAATCTGCAGTGTTTGCTGAGTATACCAGTACTTCAAAATACGAACAATATACTCTGGTACTCCTTTTTGTGTCAGTTTTGTGAATAGTTTTCTGTGGTTTACCCTATCAAATGCTTTTGATGCATCCAGGAAACACATAAACACTGAAGAGTTCTGCTTATTATATTTATAAGTAATCTCTTTTAGAGCATATATACACATATCTGTGCCCAGCCTAGCCTTAAAACCAAACTGGTTATCTGTAGACTTGATAACCTCTAAAATCCTGTCCAGCAGGATTGATTCAATAATTTTTGAAACTATGCTGGCCAGCGCTATCGGACGGTAATTATCAGAATTGCCAATGTTTCCAGTTTTGTCTTTAATGACGGGTACTAACAGGACACTTAAAATAGAGTCAGGTAAAAGCCCATGAATAAAAAACGATGTGAAACAAATGGAAAGTAGAGGAGCTAGCCTTGCATTTGCATACTTTAAATGTTCAGCTGAGACTCCATCCAGCCCAGTGGCTTTATTGTTAGATAATTTGGAAATAGCTTTATGAACCTCATAAGGCAGGATTTCATCTATATGGTCAACATTGTTTGCAGTGCATGGTTCACTATGGATGCAATTAAATAATCTGCTGTAATGTTGGCGCCACAGCTCCACAATGTTAGCAGTGCCTGATATCCCATCAACCGAACATGGGAGGGATGTTTTGTAGGATGTCATACCTCTAACTTCTTTCCAGAAGCCTTGGGTATTGTTACAGAAGAGTTTTCTGGCCATTGAGTCAGACCTCATTGCTCTTTCATTTTTACCAATATAACGCACAGCATACTTATATTGGGCATTGGTATACTTTTTATGTTCAAAGACAGGCCCTGATCTTGGTCTACCTGCCTCAATCCATTCCTTAGAAGCCTCTCTAGCTCTATTAAAAAATTCAACCACATGGGTATTCCAACCTGGCCTGATCTTATTTTTCTTTTTTATTTGTTTATGAAAGTGTTTAGTTGATGCAATCAAAACATTAACTATTTCATTATACACAGAACAAATGGATCTTATGTGCTCAGGATTTTTACAATTAGCATCTCTACAGCTAACTGCTTCTCTGGGCAAGTAGATATTCCTGAGTGAGTTATCTGTGCACATCGAATAAGATAGCAGATCCTCCTTTGACAGTGAGCTCCAGTCTAAGTGTAATTTGTTGCTTTCAGAGTACTTTTCTGTCATTGGTAACCACTGTAAATTTATCTGCATCCCAAATGGAATATGATCGGCAGTAGAGAATTCATACAGGATTTTCATGTCGGTCAATGAGGCATGTGCATCTGCTGTGGTTACACAGTGATCCAACCATGAGGTTGTATGCCATGCCTCACTAATATATGTAAAACTATCTGTAGGCAGCAGAACTTTCGTTGAGAGAATTAACCCACTATCCTCACAAAACTGCTTTAAATGAGTACCAAAGATAGATTTACTGTCAGTGATATCAGAGTTCATGTCACCAATAACAAACACATTAAAAAATTTGTTATCTTGTATAAAAGAGTTAATAAAAGCAAGCTTGTTAAGATACTCAGTTTCATTAGCAATGCACTCATATGGGGTGTACACATTCAGGATAACACATTCCCTGTCATGTTGTGTCAGGTGTATTGCTATGCACCAGTCCACTTCCAGTCGGATTATTTTAACACAAGGATCTAGTCTCTTATCCCATAATATTGCCACACCACCGGCAATCCGTCCTCGTATTATTCTATCCCCAATATCAACACTGGACTCCCCAGCCCCGTGGAAACGCTCATTTATAGAGTTCAGTCCTTCTAAACCCTGCTTTGTCAGAAAAGTCTCTTGTAGACACAGCACATCACATTGACTCAGAAGTTGGTCTACAACAACCCGGCGAGCTTTGTCCTCTGCACTATGGCCCAAGCGCAGGCCACGGCAGTTATATGAGAGAACTTTAAGAGCCATCTGTTCAGTTTTATTTGGCCTTGGTGCCACAAGCAAAGGAGGCCCCACTCATCTGCATCCCCGGGGGAACGGCACCACTCATACCCACAGCTCCAGCCCTCCGCGGCTCATAAAAACGCCTTACATAAGCTCCCACTGGCCAGAGATCAGGATTGTACATCTCCGCCACTTCATTACACTCAGATGAGACTTTGAAAGAGGCAAACCTGCTATTATCAGAGCTTATTTTCAGACATGTAACTTCACGACCCAGCTGGCCCTGAAGATAGTCAGTTAAAGTCTGTACATCCAAGTCAGGCGAGAATTTAGAAGCAAAAACACTCACCAGTTTTGTTGTCACAGTTTTTATGTTTTTCACTGCCCCTGTGCCCACAATGGCCATACTTTTAGCATTTGTTTTCACTCCAGGTGTAGTACCGCGTAATCCCGCTTGTCGCTTTCCTCTCCTCACAACCGCGCTCCACTTTGGGGATTCCGGTGGATACGTAGTTTGACCAGAGATCTTGCTATCTCCAGGGGCAGCTTCCCCGCGCAGTACGCTCGCCCGATCCGTATCCCTTCTCCCAGCATTTGCTGCAAGCCCAGCAGCCTGAGTAACTGGCGGGTTCGCAGCGTTTGCTTCGGCACTTCTGCGCTCACCCTCCGTGCGGTCGCTGTCACTGCGTCCATCGCTTCCGTGTACGCCGCCAGCACAGGTGACAGGTGCAGATCCACACCCACCCTGGTCCTCAGGTACCGCATCCGCTGCACATTCCAGGCTGGAAACCCGGCGGTTCACATCTGTTGTGATCAGACGAAGGTCCTCACATACGTCCACCTGAAGTTTGAGTGCGCACTTCATCGCTCCAACCTCAGCGTGCAATTGCTCCATTCTCTTGAGCAGACCGCAGACATCCATGTTTGAGAAAGTAACAGGAGGCAAATCATCCAAATAATGAGAGACAAAACGTGGCACATTTTCCCCACATTCATTTAGGACTTTTAGACAGCTTTTGATGTTGTTTATGTCTTTTTGCGCTCCTTTGTGCGCTACATTTCGCTGCGTAGTAGTGCACAGGTCGAACAGTACTTTCTTGGAGGCCTCTATAGACTCGGTGTCGAAAGTGTTAATAGCCATCAGCACTATTTCATCCTGGCTCAAAGTTCTGATTTTTACAGCCAAAAAGTTCAAGAGCTCATCCTCCACAATTATTTTTCCATCCACAGTCCTGTAGATCTCAGGTTTTTGTCTAGATCGACATGAAGCTGGGACAACAGATACACACGCTGTTGCTCCGTCAGCCATCTTCCATCGTCAGCCAATAATGCTAATACACACTTTAAAAAATGTTTTAAGACTTTTGTGAGACAATTTGATGCTTTTTTACATTTTCATCGATAAACTGCTTCTATGTCATCATGGGACACGTTCAGAGCAGTAAATCTGATTAAATCATGTTTATCTGCATTTAAGTTGTTTCTTTCACGAAAGGAAAATATAAAACTCAAAAAGATTAGATTTATGTTTAAATCCAAAGCCGAAAAAGTTAGCTCCCGGAAGTAGCGTAGGATCTCATTTCCGGTGCAGATGGGGAACAGGGGAATAAAACAGAAAGGATTTAAAGGCTTTTATTTTATCAGGAAATACATTATTAACCTTTAACACGTTATATTTTAGTACGCTTACTATTTTTAAGGTTAGAAACATCATTTAGGTCATTCATTTGCATACAGAGACTATATTTCTGTGTAACGCCCCTTTAATTAATCCACCCAACTGTGCTGCTAATTAATATATAATCTGATGCAGAGTCTAACGATGGCCTTAACAGAGTCTAAAGATTGCTAACGTTAGCCCGTCCACAGCAGCCAGGGCTAACGTTAGCCCGTCTGCAGCAGCCCTCTCTCTGCATAGCCGTGTGTGAAGCCGTGTCTTCCTGAGCCTCTGGACTCTCTGATGTGAACAGGGAATCTCAGAGTGAAGAAAGAGACAGAGGAGCATCAATAAGTGATGGAGTGATGAAAGCAGGCTGCGTGTCTCCTCAGTCTGCCTCCAGGGACCATCCTTTAAACACTGACTGGTTCTAATCAACCTTTCCTGCCATGCAACGTTCTGCCAGCCTGAAGCTTGGTAGAAGGATGCTGAAGCAAAGCGAGCTGCCAACTCAACAAGGTGTGAGCGAGCGAGAAGTTCAGAAAACAAGGAGGGGTTTCTCATCCTCCTCCCGCCTCAGAGGGCCGAGCCCATCGCTCTCTCTCTCTGCACGGAGCGGAGGAGGGCTGGCCACAGAAACGCTTCCCTCTCACGTCTCCTCCGCCTCACAGTCCCCCTTCCTCTCCCTCCAGGTGATCACCCCGTTCCGTAGGCTCATCCTCTGCGCCGAGAACAGGAAAGAAATGGAGGACTGGATCAGTTCGCTCAAGTCCGTCCAGTCCAGAGAGCATTACGAGGTAAGGGCCACTTTCTGTACCACATCTGGGCCACTTAGACCGGAGGGGAAGCCTCGGGAGAAAAGACATCAGATCCGACGTTAGGCGCCTTCTCAGTTAACGGTGTTTAGGGTAAACTGCATGAAACCTGATCGCTAAGATGGAATCAGGAGCTTCAAGGGATTTCTAGATGGTTGCATAAAAGTTGAGCTAATCAGAGGACCTGATGGGGTCGTTAAAGCAAACGACGTCCCACGGTGGACAAAATGCAGCTAAGCTTAAGAAATAACTGTGAACAAGCTGCCATCAAAGGCAGCTTCTCCCATTAACTCCCATCCTCACAAACCTTTCTTCAAAAAGCAACCATCTTCCCCTGGAAATCCCTGCTGTCATCAGAGATGTCCGCCCCGGGCTGAGCGCTGACAGTGACACGCTGTGGCATGCTGAGGAGGGGGGAATACAGCGGCTCTGATTTGAGAGGGAAATCTTATATAAGACCCCTTCCCTTAGCCCCTCGCTGCACTGCAGTGCAGAGCACGCCTGTTTGCACACAAACACGACCCAGCGAGGTGCATGGAGACGTCCTCTTTCCCGGCACCTGTTACGGGTCCACTGATCAAACAAAGTGGGAGCAGGGCTGTGCCAGCTGCAGCAGACGCAACGCCCACACCGTACAGTGCACCACTCTCATTAGGGCCGCGATGTCTGGGCTCCCAGCAGCTTCTGGAGGGAAGCCTCCCTGCTTCCTGAACGCAGCTCCGTTTCTGATGCAGCTGGATTTAAATTATGTTTACTTCTTTAGGAGATCTGTGCTGTAACTGTAGCTGCATTTCCATTACAAAACTTTCTCACTATTCTGACAATCAGCAATGGTGAAAACACACTATTTTGCTTTAGTTGTTTGATAATAATAAACATCGGTTTAACCAACATATTGTTAAAACAAACAAACCCTCAATCATTTCCTGTTGTCTTCTTTTTAACTCTAATAACGTCCAGGTGTGGATCATGTGTCTTATGCTACGTTCAGACCGTAAGCAGCAGAAGCAGCTATTTTACAAGCAAAGTCAATGGTTGACGCGCATCAAGGCGCAGCTAAAGGTCCTGCAGCACGTTTAGAGCAGCAGTCTGAGGCGCTTCACAAGCAGCAGCTGCTGGAGTTTGAAATTTTAACTTTAGCTGCTGGACGCGCCGCAACAACCAATGAGAGAAGCTGATCTGGGAGCTGGCAGGGAGTCAGACGCAGCACTGCTGATGCAGAGCGCTATGATCACTCCTCTGAAACAGTTTATTAACGCCTAAATTAACTTCAAATGTAGAAACCTGCCGGCAGAATATGTTGGCTTTTATTATCCTGCTGCCTGCAGTTTGTAGCACAGACCTGAAAAACGCTAACATCTACTTCCAGCCGCCACCAACAGGAGGGGAAAACCCTGGAGAGGCGAGCGGGCCTGAGGCAGCTGCTGCTGGGGATTCCCAGTGACAGCGCAGCGCCGGTATGTGGGGGTCTGAGCGGCTCCCACAGAGAAATAATCTTTGAAGGCAGGATGGTAATCTGGATGAACTGACTGCACAGACCATGTTTTCAGGAGGACTTTCTCACTTCAACATAGATTCTAACTACTTTCTACCCGCTGATCACAGCTAATATAGCCGCCATTGTTCCAGGCAGAGAAAGGATAGAGTAGCTCCGCCCACCACGCATCAGACCCACTTTATCACCACGCAGCTAGAGCAGCAAAGATGCTTCAGCCGCGCGTCAGAACTAAACTGGTACAAGCATCAGAAATTAAGCAGCAACTAGAGTCAGTACTAAACTTGCGTGTGCTGCTTCATGTTTGCTGCTCCTGCTGCGTATGGTGTGAACATAGCATTATGCGGTGTGTAAACTTTGTTTCCAGCGCAGCCGATATGATACGACAGAAAAAGAGGTAAATGTTTGGCTCCAGGGTTTCATAGTTTTCCACAGCTGGATTTTACTGCTAACATCAAGGATCAGAGCGCTAGCTGCAGCTTACGCTTCACCTACCTTCAGGGCCGTTTCAAGCAATTTGGGGGCCCCAAGCAAATCTGAACTGTACTGAAACTGTACTGATACCTGAAAGCAATCCAGCTGATTTGACTTTTATAACAAGCAATGCTTAAAACACAGAATTTCTAGCTAAAGAAATAAATGATTTATATAATTTGGATGTTTCAGAATTAGAAATGTGTCACGCTGTCAGGAGAATAAACAGCAGGCATAAATGGATACCAGACAGTCGACGTCTGCTACCACTAATGATAGATCATCACGCTGGATAATTGGTACGGAGGAAAAGCTTCGCCAACTTCATCAAAACTATTTTTTAAAAAGCTGGTTTATGTCAGCTACCTGCAGTGCCATCTTCTCGGGGCCCCAGGCCAACTCAGGGCCCTGGGCCATATTTGGTTTGCTTGCCTTGTTGCAACGGCCCACTTTAAGCATAATAGCACCACCTAAGGGGCTGGAGGGAGAAGGTCAGCGTCCTGCTGTCGTTACGTTTTCGATTGATCTAATAATCTTTCATTGATTGAACAAAGAGGACATTTTGGAAATTTAACATTGGTAATAAATCTTATACTTAGAATTAAAAGAGAAACCTTTATTCTCTCTCTCTCTCTCTCTCTCTCTCTATATATATATATATATATATATATATATTGAGCAGATTTTAATTGTCTGAATTACTGCCGTATTAACAGTGTTGGGCAAATAAAATGTAATATATTACATATTACAGATTACCATTGAAAGAGACATCAGACGTTTCTTTAAAATATTACCTTCTATGTAAAGTAATAAGATACTGATTATTTTTAGTGTTGCACCGATACTGATACCAGTACAGGGTTTATACAGGAATTAATCACTCAAATTTTATGCTTCTTAATGCTTTTTTAATGCTCTTAGAAAAAATTTTAATGCCAACAAAAGTGGTTGGAAAACCACTTTTGTTGGCCCCCCCCCGTTCTTAGCTTTTTCTCCGACTCTAGCTTCTTTTCTGAACATACAGCTTTGCGATCAACCGGAAGCAGTTCCACGCAAATATATCGTGATATAATATGGCTGATGAAATTGTTTTTATAAACATTTTTTTTAATAAAGCATTTTAAATGCCACAATAAATACATTTAATGAATTTTAATGCCAATTAAGGGCTTAATTTAAACAATAATAATTTATGGACTTTTAATGATTTTTAATTACACGCGGAAACCCTGCAGTATCGGGCAGGGCTTTGGTGAGTACCAACCAATAGGGCACTCTCATTTTGAGAGTCAAAAGTTTCTTCAACTATTGTCACCCATTCCAGGTAGGCAATAAAAAATTCTACTGGATTCACTTTGTTTTAGTCTTTTTCCTGATTCACAAAGGAAGGCAGCGGCTGGACATGAAGCCATGATGGCAATTATTTTACATCCCAGTAGTCTTCATATACTCAGATCAATTTTAAACGGATGGTATCGGCCGATACTGCACAGCCAGGTATCGGGTATCAGGGCCAAAAATTGGCATCGGTGCAACACTAGTTTTTATTAATGCATAAATAAACTCTTTTCTAAAATGACAGTTCTGATTGAAATGCGTTAACCGCCTCAGGAGCTGTGGTAATATTTTGTCTCTCGTCTTAATTCTCCATTGCTGCCTGAATATAATGTGTTACGTTAGAGCATTAGCTTGGTAACATGTTACCCCACAGTATCCTTTCACTAGATCTCATGTTTTAGACTAACATTACCAGTATTTCAATAAGCCATTAATCACATTTAATTAAGACTAATTTGCCCCAATTATGCTGCAAATACAGTCAAGTTTACATCTAAATGTGAAAACTTATTATTTTAGCATTACTTTGGTGGATTGGATGGTGAATGGAAACGCAGCTCGTTACACCCAGATAAACATCAGGGCTGTTTGTTCTCTGCTGCTCATTCTCCCTCCCAACTGGAGTCACGCTGACACCTGGTCAGGATTCAGCCCTCATGCTTCCCTGAACTGGTAGGAACGCGTCTCCCACTTGATGTTAGAAACACAACCAGAACCTCTGCCTCCAAATCCAACATGGCTGCCACATACCTGTAACCTGTAGGCTTAAAACTAGAGCCAGGCTCTGAGACAAAGTGGACTCAGGTTGTGGTATGATAATTTCATCCCGTAAATGTTCAAGATTTTTCCCATAATGTTGCGACTTTATTCTCGTAATATTATGACTTTATTCTCGTAATGTTGCAACTTTATTCTCGTTATATAATGACTTTATTCTCGTAATGTTGCGACTTTATTCTCATAACATTATGACTTTATTCTCGTAATGTTGCGACTTTATTCTCGTAATGTTGCGACTTTATTCTCGTAATATTATGACTTTATTCTCGTAATGTTTCGACTTTATTCTCGTAATATTATGACTTTATTCTCGTAATGTTGCGACTTTATTCTCATAACATTATGACTTTATTCTCGTAATGTTGCGACTTTATTCTCATAACATTATGTTGCGACTTTATCCTTGTAATATTATGAATTTATTCTTGTAATGTTGCGACTTTATTCTCATAACATTATGAATTTATTCTCGTAATGTTGCGACTTTATTCTCGTAATATTATGACTTTATTCTTGTAATGTTGCGACTTTATCTCATAACATTATGACTTTATTCTCGTAATGTTGCGACTTTATTCTCGTAATGTTGCGACTTTATTCTCATAACATTATGACTTTATTCTCGTAATGTTGCGACTTTATTCTCGTAATGTTGAGACTTTATTCTCGTAATATTATGACTTTATTCTCGTAATGTTGCGACTTTATTCTTGTAATGTTGCGACTTTATTCTCATAATATTATGACTTTATTCTCTTAATGTTGCGACTTTATTCTCGTAATATTATGACTTTATTCTCGTAATGTTGCGACTTTATTCTCGTTATATTATGACTTTATTCTCATAATGTTGCGACTTTATTCTTGTAATGTTGCGACTTTATTCTCATAACATTATGACTTTATTCTTGTAATGTTGCGACTTTATTCTTGTAATGTTGCGACTTTATTCTCGTAATATTATGACTTTATTCTCGTAATGTTGCGACTTTATTCTCGTAATATTATGACTTTATTCTCGTAATGTTGCGACTTTATTCTCATAACATTATGACTTTATTCTCGTAATGTTGCGACTTTATTCTCATAATATTATGAATTTATTCTCGTAATGTTGCGACTTTATTCTCGTAATGTTGCGACTTTATTCTCGTAATATTATGACTTTATTCTTGTAATGTTGCGACTTTATCTCATAACATTATGACTTTATTCTCGTAATGTTGCGACTTTATTCTCGTAATGTTGCGACTTTATTCTCGTAATATTATTACTTTATTCTTGTAATGTTGCGACTTTATTCTCGTAATATTATGACTTTATTCTCGTAATGTTGCGACTTTATTCTCGTTATATTATGACTTTATTCTCATAATGTTGCGACTTTATTCTTGTAATGTTGAGACTTTATTCTCATAACATTATGACTTTATTCTTGTAATGTTGCGACTTTATTCTTGTAATGTTGCGACTTTATTCTCGTAATATTATGACTTTATTCTCGTAATGTTGCGACTTTATTCTCGTAATATTATGACTTTATTCTCGTAATGTTGCGACTTTATTCTCATAACATTATGACTTTATTCTCGTAATGTTGCGACTTTATTCTCATAATATTATGAATTTATTCTCGTAATGTTGCGACTTTATTCTCGTAATGTTGCGACTTTATTCTCGTAATATTATGACTTTATTCTTGTAATGTTGCGACTTTATCTCATAACATTATGACTTTATTCTCGTAATGTTGCGACTTTATTCTCGTAATGTTGCGACTTTATTCTCGTAATATTATTACTTTATTCTTGTAATGTTGCGACTTTATTCTCATAACATTATGACTTTATTCTCGTAATGTTGCGACTTTATTCTCGTAATGTTGAGACTTTATTCTCGTAATATTATGACTTTATTCTCGTAATGTTGCGACTTTATTCTCATAATGTTGAGACTTTATTCTCGTAATATTATGAGTTTATTCTAGTAATGTTGCGACTTTATTCTCACAATATTATGACTTTATTCTCTTAATGTTGCGACTTTATTCTCGTAATATTATGAGTTTATTCTTGTAATGTTGCAACTTTATTCTCATAATATTATGACTTTATTCTCTTAATGTTGCGACTTTATTCTCGTAATATTATGAGTTTATTCTTGTAATGTTGCGACATTATTCTCATAATATTATGACTTTATTCTCGTAATATTATGACTTTATTCCCGCAATGTTGCGACTTTATTCTCGTAACATTATGACTTTATTCTCTTAATTTTGCGACTTTATTCTTGTAATATTATGACCTTATTCTCGTAATGTTGCGACTTTATTCTCGTACCATTATGACTTTATTCTCTAATTTTGAGACTTTATTCTTGTAATATTATGACCTTATTCTCGTAATGTTGCGACTTTTTTCTCGTACCATTATGACTTTATTCCCGTAATGTTGCGACTTTATTCTCGTAACATTATGACTTTATTCTCTTAGTGTCGTTAGAGCGGGGGCTCTCTGGGCATCAGACAGCCCGTACGTTAGCACCGAAGGGAGGGGCTCCTGGCGGGGTGTCACCCTGTGAATAGTTGGGAATGAGAAGGTGTTGATTGTTATCACTCAGTGCACTGTGCTTGCTCTTCTCTGACTGTTTTCTCAGTGCTGCCAACCTGTCTTAACTTCTCCTTTGTCAGACGGCACAGTTTAATGTGGAACATTTCTCAGGGATGCACAACTGGTACGCCTGCTCCCACGCACGGCCCACCTTTTGCAACGTCTGTAAAGATAGCTTGTCTGGGGTCACATCCCATGGCCTCTCCTGTGAAGGTAAACGACACTCTGCACCCTGCATACACACTGCTACACATGGAAATACTCCAGTAGGAATAGTTCTCCTGTTTTGCATCAGATGTCTGAAATATTCATTCTGAATTAAAATGTCTTTGAAAGCTGAAGAAAGAAAGTGATTTTTAACAGCTTGAATTCAGGTTTACAGGCTCTGAAAACATCAGTCTTTGTCTCATTCTGCCACAAGTGTATTTAGATGGAATTTCAGGTCTCAAACCAACATTAGCATGAAACGAAAGGAAAATATGAGGATTTCCTCCTTTAAAGGGTCAAAATCTGAGCGCACATTCATTTCCGGCCCCTTCAGTCTCTAGACTGAACCAAATCCAGCTCTCCCCCCGCCCTCGGACCTCACGTCAGTAGCCAGGTCCATCTGGATGTCATTATTCTGCAACCGGAAATACAATATGGACGTTTCAACATGGGAGCAACATCACCATATCTGAGTGTCACATTGAAGATGGCTCCACTGTAGTTCTTCGTCATGTATGTAACATTAACTCAATGAGCCTTAATAAAATACCCTGCTGGTTCTGAATCCAGTGGATGTTTGAGCCTCACAGGTTTGATGAACATCAGGAAACAAAAAACTAAGAACAACAGCTTCCAGACGTGGCGATGGCGGCATCAAACCAAGGAAAAACATTTCCTCAGCAGGAGCAGAAACTCTGATCTGGACATATTTCTGGAAGGAAAACCTGTTAAAGGCTGCAGGAGAATCGAGGGTCAAAGTTCATCCTTCAGCGTTCAACCAGAGATGGACCGGCCAGACTACAGAATAAAATCAATGATGGAACACTGGCTTAGGAAAAAAGTTAAAAACAATCCACTGGACTTTGTTTCCAAGTTTGAAGACGTTTCTCTTCCATCCAGGAAGATTTTTCAATTCCAAATGTCAGAAATAGCGTTTAGTTCCAGGTTTTTTCCAGCAGCCCAACAAAGCCTGGTTTTAGTTTAGAAAACATGCAAATAGAAATGGATGAACGGGTCCCCCCCTTTGGAATGGGGATCGTTAGAGGGAATTGTTGGCCTGGCTTAATAGACGAGGTCTTATTTTCCCCTGTAAAAGGGTTATGATGATAGCGGGAAGGAATCAACTCTATTAGGATCAGTTGTTCACAGAAACCCTCCATGCAGCCTGGTTGTATCTACATGTCCAAAGGTGGTGGAAACGTACACCAGACTGTAGCCGTCTGGGTGTTACTGGATTGCTCTGCAAAGCATTTCATGAAAATTAAAGCAAGTTTCTGTTTGGAAAAGGTTTTACGAAACAAACTCCACTTTAATTTCACTGTTGCTTTCCGCTCAAGGCTTAAAGTCCTGATTAAATCTGCTGAAATCTGTGGTTTGATTTGAACAACTTGAGGGGTAGGATTATTTTTTGCTAGTTCTGTATGTTTACAGATCGTGCTGTAAACCCAGGAAGCCCGGTCACAGAAGATTTAAAGGAGAAGTCCGGTCAGCAGGAATAATCAATGGATCATTATTTATACGGTACTTAAACTAATACCTTCGCAGTGATTTAATGAACTTAACGTTAATCAGTAAAAAAAATAAAAATTTTGTGGCGATCACTGAGTCTGGGAGCGGCCATTTTTGTCCAAGTCTAGTAGCCCCTCCCTCCTGCCATCTTCCAGCAGTGACGTCACGGTGCGGTAAGCCTAGCGCCATTCTCCCCGCTTTCCAAGCTAAATCAATGGGAACTACTAGACACATCTGCAATCAACAACAATTATTGAAGATTTCCAGAGGACTTCACCATTGAAATTCACCAGAGCTATAGTGAAACTGACAATGCCCACGTGCATGGCAGCTGGATGCTGGAATACATCGGGTAAAAGTGAAAGAAAAGAGTTATCCACCTTTCTGATTCCTGATCCTCCACGGACGGGTTGGTCGTTGGATCGCCAACTTGAAGAGGGAGGATTTGCCATCGAACTTCTGGCCAGAGAAAAAACCCGTAATATGTAGCCAACATTTGGAAGAAGAATGTTTTCAAGATGACTTGGATAATAGCGCGTTGTGACAAACACCAGATACAGCACTGGGACTTGATCAACAGCCGATACCGCACCGTGACGTCACTAACCAGTAGGTGGCAGTAGTGTTCTTTGACAAACATGGATGCCTCCAGTAAAGCACATTCACAGAAAATTACTCTGAATTAAAAACACTGATCATTTATTGAACAGGATGGAATCATTTCAGATTTAAAGAACTTTCAGAAGTTTGGATTCTGAACATGAGCGGACTTCTCCTTTAAATCTCTGAACAAAAGGCAATGAGGAGTTTCTACCAGAACTACAGGGTCCATCAGAGATCAGACTCTGTAGGCCAATGTCCCATAATGCTCCAGGTGAGCCCGTTCTTGTAGCTACCATGGGAAGCTAGCTGTGGTTGTATTTCCAGATGGCTGTGGGTTTAAAAATGGCGGTGTGAATGTTTAAACATGGTTGTTGGTGCAGCAGGATGCCCCTCAGAGCTGCTGCATGACGTGCAGAGAGGGAAACATTAAAGCCAAGCCTGCATCCAGGTCTGCAGCTCTAACCAGGCCTTCCGCTCTCATCTCATACTGTGTGTTACATAAGCGTTGAATCAGCTGACTCTTTTAGCTTTCGCACATCTCCATTTACCATCAGCAGAGTCAGAGGGTGCTGAGAATGACGCCTCCTGATCTGCGCTGGAAGGTGTGAGCTGAGATGTTGAAGGGATTCAGGTTAAGAGAGAAGACAGTTTGTTTGCCTTGTTGGTGTCACGCTCCACACGCTCCTGATGCTAAATTAGCTAATGCTTACCTGTTAGGGTAGGCTCATTACGCTCCTCTATGAAGCTATGTTCTCTCCAGATCAGAAGGCATCGAGAACAAACCTTAGATCTGATTGAATTATGGAGGTTTCATTATTTATCTCCAGAGACACAAATCAAGTTTGTTAGTTAAAAAGCCTCGAATGAAACGCTTCAAGAGTCAAACTCCTATATCAGCTGCTTTGATCTATAAATAACTGTAACATGTTAGATTTGCATTTATATCAACACTCATGAATCAATTATTGAAATAATCCTCAGCTAATTTAATCATCTATTCATCGTTGGAGTGTAGAGACTCTAAAACATGCCTTTAGCTGACAGAGTGACCCAGCGCTAATTTACAGGAGAGGATTAGGGCCACTGAAAAATAGGTAAATGATTTTTGAATATTATTTCAGTTTAATATGGGTAAAAAGTCAGAATTCTGACTTTTATCTCAGGATTCTGATTGAATTCTGACAGCTAACAAACATGTTAGCATCCAGCTGTAGCCATGTCTGTTTTAGAGACTAGCTCTCTTTTTTTTATCTCCTTCAGCTCTTCCATTAATCAAACAGCATCAGCAGGGATCCTCAGGGACGGAAAAAGGTGCCTAATTCCCTCATTTTCCACCAATGTGTTCCTGTTCCTCTCAATCAACTCACATCTTTGTCAGTGAAGCTGAGATCTCCACATCTCTGCCTTCATGGAGCCCATCTACATTAGGATCCACAATTCTGAGATTAAAGTCAGAATTCTGAATTTAAAGTCAGAATTATAAGATTAAAGTCAGAATTCTAAGATTAAAGTCAGAATTATAAGATTAAAGTCAGAAATCTGAGATTAAAGTAAGAATTCTGAGAATAAAGTCAGAATTATAAGATTAAAGTCGGAATTCTAGATTACAGTCAGAAGTCTGAGTTTAAAGTCAGAATTCTGAGTTTAAACTCAGAATTCTGAGATTAAAGCCAGAATTCTTGGTTTAAAGTCAGAATTCTGACATTTTTTCCCCATAATAAACTGAAATTAAAAATCTGTTTTTTTATTTTTCGGTGGCCCTAATTCTCTTAAGTATTAATCAAAAAAAAAAAAAAATCAACAGATCAATTGATTTTCAAAATAATCATTAGTTGCAGCAATATTATAATATAATAATCAGCGCAGCTTGAAGTTCCCTTCCTCTCTGCAGAGCTGGACAGTCAGCGGGTTTGATTTGTGTTCTTTTATACTTCATAAAGTCTTCATCCAAGAGTCAGTGTTTTATTCCAGTCTGCTTTGTGATGCCGGGCCATTAGGGACTGTGCTATCATGTCTACTGAATTCTCTTAATGCTCTGCTAATGCTCCCTAACAGCATTTAGTGGTAGACAAGATTGAAGCATTGATTGTTGCTCCCGGATATGATTCAGACCTGTAGTATCTGTGCCGGCTGTAGAGTGACATCGCTGTTGATTGTTTGGTACAGTTGTACATGAGCTGGGTGGGGTGACTGGAAGGAAAGCTCCCCAGAGAGCAGGCATTATTCATCAGTTTGCTAAGTGCTTTGTCTCCTCTGAAGGAAACAGCCAGTGCAGTCTCTTTGTTTTGGTGTGAGAGATAATCCTGCTATATTTACCTAATGCCTCTCGTGTCTCACTTAGACCAGTGTTTTTCACCCCAGGTCCTCCAGGCACACTGCCTGGAGGTTTTAGATCTTTTCTCTGCTTTAACACACCTGATTCAGATGATTGCAGTTCAGCAAATCCTGTTAATCAGCAATCAGTTGATATCAGGACTGTGAAAGCTGGAAAACATCTAAAGCCGGGCTTACACTGCGTGATATTTTCAATCGTTGCACGCAACTACAGCTCACACTGTACGGCGAAGTACAGTGTGAGGTCACAGCTCACCATGTTTGTTCTCACACTGCGACCCGATGGTCTGATGCGATCTACCTGCTCACACTGTACGCCAAAAAACCAGGTGGGACTCAGCTCCGCAGGGAGATGGCGCTACTCGGACTTGTCTGTCTGGAAGCCAAACCAGTAGAAGAGGAATATGAAGCTCACTAGAGTGAAACGTGCTGCCTTGGATATTTGTAAGCCCTAAAAAGAAAAGGAGACGACGTATTTGGACAAAAAGGCATGGCTGAGCAAACATGGCTACTACGGTCTGTCAGTTTGACAGAAAGGACTCCATTTCACTCATTGCCCCCCCGCCATGCTTCTGTGTTTCCATCTGAGAGGAAGAATGTCATGGTTCTGTTTCTGTTCAAGTTTTATCTCTGAGTTTTCATTGGTTTTATTTCCATTTTTGTGTTCTAGTTATTTTTTATTGTATTTGAGTTCTTAGATATTTCTTGTATGCCCTCTGCTGCCCTCTTGTGTCAGTCTCTTTCTCCTAGCTCCCTTCTAGACTCCTCTGTCCACACCTGCTCCCAATCTACTGATTAGCCTGCTCTTTGTTTGTCTCTCCCATATATGCACCTCCTGTTCAGGCACTCTTGGTTGGTTTGTACTGTCGAGTGGGTTGGAGGTTTGACAGGACCCAAATGCAGACACAAAAACTGAAGTGGTTTCTTGAAGATTTAATTAACCAAAAGTTCAACAGAAGCAAAAATCCAAAACAAAATCCACTAAAACTGAAAACCCAGATTACTTGCAAGAAGTGGACAAAGAAATGACGACAAACCAGTGACAGTGACATAGCAGGAGGTGTATATATGGGAGAGAGAAAGACCAGGCTAATCAGCAGACTGGGAACAGCGTGTGAACAGAGGAGTCTAGAAGGGAGTTAGGGGGAAAGGAAACTGACTCAAGAGGGCAACAGAGGGCATACAAGAAATACCTAAGAACTCAAATACAATTAGAAATAACTAGAACATAAAAATGGAAATAAAATCAATGAAAACTCAGAGATCAAACTTGAAGAGAGCCAAAACCATGACGAAGAAGAAGAATCTTTGTTTGCCCACTGAGCGATTTGCCCACGACCACCTTACGACGGCCGACTGAATTTCAAACAGGTTTGATTTTCTCCTGATTTTATGATTCCTGATGGGGAGGTGGTCATTAGAGGGTGATCGCCCCTCGTTACCCCCTGTACACCACGCATCATCAGGCTGAAAGTCGGCCTGATCGAAAAATTCTCGCACGACTGGATAGTCGGCCCAAACAGGGCAAAAAAATCATACAGTGTACGCCCGGCTTTATTTGTGCAGGGCAAGATGCCTTGAGGACCCAGGTTGAAAAACACAGACTTAGAGCATCCAGATTTGACACATTAACAGCTAACAGCAGGTCGGCCTTTACACTGAGGAGGATTCAGAACAACTTAGGGTCAAGATATGAGAAATCAAGAACAGGTTCAACAGGTTCAGGTCAGGAACAAGCTCTGCCATGGACCCTCCTGCTTCTACGATTTTGTTCTCAGCCAAACCAGGAGATGGTGCTTCTCCCTTCGTCTTTCAACTATCAGTCTCCTGAAGTCAAGTAAAGAGGCAACTGGATCACAGTAAGTCATCACGTCCGGTTGGTCTCAGTTCCAGGGATGTGGAAGACCTCCTGCCTGGTTCCAGGACCAAAAACTAAGCCAGCAGTCCTCAGTTACTATAGACCTGTTGCCCTGACATCCCACATCATGAAGGTCTTAGAGAGACTTCTGTTGGTTCACCTCAGTAAGCTAACCAGCAGCTATCAGGACCTGCCGTTTGCTTATTGCCATGGAGATGGAGCTGGTGATGTCATCATCCACCTGCTTCAACAAACCCACTGTTGTTTAGACGTGTCTTTGATTTCTACCAAACATTTAACACGATTCAACCTGACTGACTTTGGGAGAAACTCCAGCAGACTCAGGTGGAGGCAACAACAACCACCTGGATCCAGTGATGGGCAGTAGCGCCGCTACATGTAGAGAAGCTATTAGTTTAACTACATGTTCCAGTAGCTTGCCCAACACTGCCTGGATCAAAGACTACCTGACAGACAAACTGAAGGCTCAGCTGTCTGATCCAGCAGCACAGGAGCACCACAGGGGACGGTACTCTCTCCATTCCTTTTTCCTCTGTTCACCTCTGACCTCCAGGACCAGACAGAGTCCTGTCATCTGCAGGAATCCTGGGATGACTCTGCAGTCATTGGGAGCATCAAAGATGGAGCAGAAGCTGAGGACAGAGAGCTGGTGAAGCGCTTTGTGGCATGGTGTGGAAACAATCATCTGATCCTGAAGGTCAACAAAACAAGGAGATGATTGGAGATTTCAGGAAGAAGTTGAATCCTGTTAACATCCTGAGAGCAGAAGTGGAGGTGGAGGATCTATATCTGAAAACATGTTTAACTTGTAGAAATCTGTCCTGCTGTTTTTAAGAACTTTATCTGTAGGTTATGAGAACAACCTTCTTTCAAAGTGCAGCGCATTCGGAGGCAGCCATGCCTCACACATCTCCCCCCCTTTAGATGGGCTCTACCCTAACCCCATGTCATCCTACTGGAATGCTACAAATAAAGCAGTTCTTAATTCTGTTGTATGGAACTACGTACCAGGATGGAGGCGAAACAGCGACATTTTCAGCACAGAGCAAGCTGCTTTTCTTCTTCCATACCTGATATTTGGGAGACCCTCCTGGCCTGAACCATGCTGTGTGCGCATTGGAGAAATTATTCCTTGCATTTAACCCATCCTCTCGAGGAGCAGTGGGCTGCCATTGTGCGGTGCCCGGGGAGCAATCAGAGGTTGAGGGTCTTGCTCAGGGACCCAGAGTGGAGGATGTGGGATTCAAACCGGGTGCTTGCAACCTTCTCAGAACACAGGCGCACTGCTCTAACCCTTAGGCCAGCACTCCACTAATAGAACAGATCTAAATAAAACTGGGTTTTTCTGTCCTCAGGAACATCTAGCTGCTGTAGTAAAGGGTTATCAGTCCTATTTCTCTGTTTTTCAGTGTGTAAATTCAAAGCTCACAAACGCTGCGCTGTCAGAGCCACTAACAACTGTAAATGGACGACCTTAGCCTCGATTGGGAAGGACATCATTGAGGATGAGGATGGGGTGAGTTTAAGCAACTTTTACCGCTGTCATAAAGTGTTTCCTGCCTTTTATTTTTATTTTTTAAGCTTTTAAAGCCTCAGATCAGCAGAAAAATGTTGATGTTGAACAAAGAAAAACAAAGGAAATATAAAAAAATGTTGTGTTGTCTAGGACTCCCTAAATCTCTAACAGACAGGCCAAGACCATCACACTCCCACCACTATGTTTGCCTTTTTATGCTGCTCTTCTTCTTCCTGTGATAGTTTGGTACCAGGTGGATCATCAGGATGTTAGACCTCTGTAGCAGTCTAGGTCATTTGGACCCTCCCCCCCAGAAATGCCTTTAGAACTTCCTTTGTCCAAAAAATGATTCTTTTAGTTTGGTTTTCATTCAGCTGAAGAACATTTAGTTCGTCCATGCGTTGAATTCTTCTCTGCATGTATCCAAAGCTGGAGTAGGGTAATACTCACCAGGTGATGAACAGCAGGGTGTCGTCTGCATCGCCATGGTAACTGATGATGTTGTTTATTAAAGAAAAAATCCGCTCTGCAAGGAATAATCAATGGATCATTATTTATACTTAAAACTAATATGTTTGCGAAGATTTAATGAATTTAGTGTTAATTAGTAAAAAAATAAAAATAATAATAGTTTTCATCATTAACACTTAGTTTGGTACTTTATTTGACAAACATGGATGCCTCCAGTAAAGCACATTCACAGGAAAATTACTCTGAATTAAAAACACTGATCATTTATTGAACAGGATGGAATCATTTTATATTTAAATTACCTTTAGAAGTTTGAATTCTGAATATGAGCGACTTTTCCTTTAAGATCTGAGTTAGACGGAGATAGTGAATAGGAGGGGCCCTAAGATGGAGCCCAGGGGAACTCCACATGGGATTTCTGTGGTTCTAATGGAAAGTTCCCTGCTGATCAGGAGGATTTAAACCAGTCCAGGCCTGAAGCAGAGAGACAGAGCAGGTTTGAAGGTGTTCTAATACAATAAAGTGAGGAACAAACGTTGCCCTGAGGTCCAATAGAACCAGCGCCATGGATCTTCTAAACACCTGAAAAAAAGGTTTTTGACACTGAAAGACGCTGCTTTGTTTCTCATCTCTCCTGGAATTTCTTTAATTTGAGGCATTATGAGTTTCCTTTTCAATCCTTTAGCCTACTTCCTGTTGTCAGACTGGTTCTGTTGAAGCCATTTCTTGAAGCTACAGGTGTGGCCTAAACACATTAGAAATCAAGCTCACCATGTAGATAAACAGAGTTTAGTTATTCTTTAAGAAGAGAGGAATTACTTTTATGCTTTAAAATCTTTTTTTTCCCCCAATAAATGAAATCATGTTTATACATTACAGTAGATTTCATGTTTTTCCCGTTAATTTTTTCTGGCTGTCTGATGTCCCTGATGATCTGACACATCATGGCGAGCTTTACCTGAATGGATGGAACCGTCGTCAGTGACGCTCCCTCTGTTCATCCCACAGATCGCCATGCCTCATCAGTGGCTGGAGGGCAACCTGCCCGTCAGTGCCAAATGTGCCGTGTGCGATAAGACCTGTGGCAGTGTCCTGAGGCTGCAGGACTGGCGCTGCCTCTGGTGCAAGGCGATGGTAAGGCGTCTGTCACGTCCTCGTATAAATGGAACCACATGGAGGAACATGTTCATACATGAAATCCCCTTTATAGCGCGCTCAGTGAAATACTTTGAAAATCTCAATTTCAAGCCAATTGTGTTATTCAAATCCAGTACAAGACCTTATTACCTTTATAACATTCAATAAATATTGATATTTGGATGGCAAAAACGAATGTCAATGTAATAATAAGAAACGCCTACTTGCCCGAATATATTAAGAAAAATAACAAAAGTGCTTCTAGAAGAAAAAAGAAAAACACTGAGAGTGAAAGAAACATTTTCTTTGGTCCAACAAAACATTAGAGGCATTTATTCTGATACTGGCGCTGACATTTTTTAGTTTATAAACCTAAATATAATACAGTTAACTAGGCTTATTAACTTTTTAACTTTACTTTTTAACTTTTAAATGACCCTTTTAACTTTTTTTTTCTTCAACGTAATCTACAGTAGGTCATATATCATTCAGGGGCTCATCTAATCTAAGTAACAATACTCACTAAATTGGCAAATCATCTCATTTACCTACTTGAATTAAGGGTAAATACGCTTAATTTATGAAATTTTTAATCATTTCTTGATCGTTTTTGCAGTGGATGTAACACCAAGAGGCAGAGAGGGAAAAAAACACTCAGAACGCTCTCAATACAGATAGCTGCACCCACCCAATGATCGGTGGTGACATGTCCTCACCAGTCCTTCTGAGCGTTAGGCCTGTGCCCAGCAGCCCCGCCCCCCCTCACTACCAGCTCACTGCTGCATTCAGTCCTGATCGTTCTCACATCTTCTGTTTTGAATGAAGTGTTTCTGTTTTGTTGGTCTAGGTGCATACAGCCTGTATGGACCTGTATCCTCGCAAATGTCCTCTGGGTCAATGCAAAGTCTCCATCATCCCCCCCACAGCGCTCAACAGCATCGATTCCGACGGTAGGCATCACCTGCTCAACCCGCTGGCTCCCTCTGGAGGGCCGGGGCCAAACGTCTCACTCCACCTTCTCAGACACAAACCCTGAGGATTTCACCTCATTTTGACCTTTGACCTGAGGTCAGGGCCGTTATCCTCCCTCCATAAAGGCATCCACAGCCTTAGAGCGGCTCATTTAACCACGTAGAGACAGCTGTCCTCGTACGATCCGGTCTTTTAATGAGCCTCCCGCTTGTTGTAAAAGGTGTTTAACAGGGACGTGTTCCAGGAAGTAGCCTGTTTATAAATAGCTTTATGTGACAGGTGGCCATGCAGCTTAATATCGACGCCACCCGTGATAAGAAAAAAACAGTAGGACGCCAAAAACGTTACTTTGTTTTACATAATGAGCAAATTATAATAATACATCACTGTGGAGTTTAATTATATTTCTTTTTAAAGACAGAAATATAAGATATCTGCTGTGCTTGTGTGTTTTATGAGTCGACACCATTCGGGGTTAGTTTCTGCCGACTTTAAATATTTCATTTTTATAATTTATTGCACACTAGTTTTAATTCATTTTAAATCTTAAAGCCTAACCCATCTGAAGATTCTCAGTATTACGTAGGACTGGAATTTATCCTGCTGGAAGCTCTCATTTCCTCCAGTATTGCTGCAGTGAGCTCAGTCTGTTCACCTACCAACTCTTTCTCTGAGCCTGCTTAAAGTTAGCATCTCCATTGCATGATTCTGCCACCACCATGCTTAATAATGGGGATGTTAGGCTGGATAACTTGTTGCATAGAGGTCAAAGACTTCAGTTGGTGTCTTTGGACTGCAGCCCCTCTGGTGGGCTGTGTCTCCTGCTGGAAACTGCAAACAGGACTTCTTATTCTTTTTAACCATTTGATTTACAAACAGTGCATGAGGTGAAAAACAGGTCAAAGGTTGGAGGTTGAAAAAACAAGAATTTGAGTATAAAGTTCTTGAAATCAAGGATTTATTTAATATTGAAGCAATAGTGCTGGTGGACAGATTCTCCCACCTGAGATGCAGATCTCTGCAGCTCCTCCAAAGTCGCCATGATTTCAGTTGGCCTCAAACAGAGCAGCTGCATCGACACAAAGGTTCAATGAATCTGACAGACATCCCCTCCTGAATTCATTCATACCTGGAGGAAGTTCAGCTCCCTGAATTCTGTTTAGTGGATCAGACCAGTGGAACTACAATCCAGACATGGGCAATGTGGAGTCAACAAGTCATCTCCATGTCATGTATTGGTTCTACCCAGCCACTGAAGCAGGTGAGTCCAACCGTGAATTAACCTGTGCAGATTGGACTCACCTGGTTAATTGGCTGGGTAGATTAAATACATGACATGGAGATTACTTGTTGACTCCACATTGCCCATGTCTGCTACAATCTATAGCTTCTGTCTGGAAATTCATGAAACTCTGCATCATTTTCATTTACAGCGTTTTGCTACAACTTTCTGTTACAGTGTGACACCGTACATTATTGTGTGTACTAGATTGTTACTGTATGTTAGTGTGTGTTACAGAGTGGTACTGTGTGTTGCAGTGTGTTACTATATCTTACAGTGTGTCACTGTACGTTAATATATTGCCACTGTACACTCACCGGTCACTTTATTAGGTACACCTGTCCAACTGCTCGTTAACACTTAATTTCTAAGCAGCCAATCACATGGCGGCAACTCAGTGCATTTAGGCATGTAGACATGGTCAAGACAATCTCCTGCAGTTCAAAGCGAGCATCAGTATGGAGAAGAAAGGTGATTTGAGTGACTTTGAACGTGGCATGATTGTTGGTGCCAGAAGGGCTGGTCTGAGTATTTCAGAAACTGCTGATCTATTGGGATTTTCACGCACAACCATCTCTAGGGTTTACAGAGAATGGTCCGAAAAAGAAAAAACATCCAGTGAGCGGCAGTTCTGTGGGCGGAAATGCCTTGTTGATGCCAGAGGTCAGAGGAGAATGGCCAGACTGGTTGGAGCTGATAGAAGGGCAACAGTGACTCAAATAACCACCCGTTACAACCAAGGTGGGCAGAAGAGCATCTCTGAACGCACAGTACGTGGAACTTTGAGGCAGATGGGCTACAGCAGCAGAAGACCACACCGGGTGCCACTCCTTTCAGCTAAGAACAGGAAACTGAGGCTACAATTTGCACAAGCTCATGGAAATTGGACAATAGAAGATTGGAAAAACGTTGCCTGGTCTGATGAGTCTCGATTTCTGCTGCGACATTCGGATGGTAGGGTCAGAATTTGGCGTCTACAACATGATAGCATGGATCCATCCTGCCTTGTATCAACGGTTCAGGCTGGTGGTGGTGGTGTCATGGTGTGGGGAATATTTTCTTGGCACTCTTTGGGCCCCTTGGTACCAATTGAGCATCGTTGCAACGCCACAGCCTACCTGAGTATTGTTGCTGACCATGTCCATCCCTTTATGACCACAATGTACCCAACTTCTGATGCCTACTTTCAGCAGGATAATGCGCCATGTCATAAAGCTGGAATCATCTCAGACTGGTTTCTTGAACATGACAATGAGTTCACTGTACTCAAATGGCCTCCACAGTCACCAGATCTCAATCCAATAGAGCATCTTTCGGATGTGGTGGAACGGGAGATTCGCATCATGGATGTGCAGCCGACAAATCTGCGGCAACTGTGTGATGCCATCATGTCAATATGGACCAAACTCCCTGAGGAATGCTTCCAGCACCTTGTTGAATCTATGCCACCAAGAACTGAGGCAGTTCTGAAGGCAAAAGGGGGTCCAACCCGTTACTAGCATGGGGTACCTAATAAAGTGGCCGGTGAGTGTATGATATAGTGTTACATTGTGTTACTGTGTGTTACAGTGGTCTTGTTTTAGCTACAACTCAGGGCAAGTATTTTGCAACATATTCTTCATGCTGGGACTTAAAGGTAAATATGGCGACATTCAACTGGTCCCCATATGCTAAAATCCTGTTCTTTGAGTTGGGGTTAGTTTTAGGACTAAGGTGTGAATTCAGTTTAGGTTAGGTTTAGTGTTAGGTATATGTTGGTAACAGTTAGGGTTAGGGTAAAGGTCTGGGTTAGGCCATAGAAAATGAATGTAGGTCAATGAAATGCCTTTAAAACTTAGCTGAGCGTGTTATTGTGGTGGCCCTCTATATAAAATTCCAGACATGTTAGTAACATGAACAGACTTGGATAACTATGGATTTGGTACCATTTGTCAGGACTGTTCAGGTTAAAGCCTTCCTGAACCACCCGGCGCCGTCCTCTGATGGTAGCAGCATGGCGGCAGAACGAGGGATTCAGCATCCAGATGCTGAGAATGGAGAGAAGTTAAACAGCCAAGATGATCTCTATGCTCTCATTACATCGCCTCACATGCTCTGGATCCCCTCTGCCTCCATGAGGAAGAGCAAAGGGGCCGTTTAGTTTGATAAGGCTGGGGGGGGGGTGCACGAGCTGCGGCACGTGCTGGAATACAGTGGCTCCCTTCGCCTCCGCTCAACCTCTTCTTCCTTCATTCCTTAGCAACAGAGAGGCTGAGAAAGTGAAGCAGAGAGAAGAGAAATCAAAGGGGGGAGGGGGGTCTGTCATCACAGGGTTCTGCTTAAAGGAGCAAAGTGTCTCGCAGCGTCTCCCCCCCCAGATTGGCGTTTAGGGCCCAGCACATGTTTCCAGCATGTGTTGTCATCACATCGTCATAACAACCAGCGATAAACGACTTTCAGGAGGTTTAGGAAGGAAGCAGAGTTTTAAAGACCAACCGCCTGAACTAGCCTGACACTTCATCGCTCTCTGTTATTTATTGATCAAAACTTCAATAACTGCAAGTTAATTTAGATAAAACCTGCTGAGTCACTCTAAGGCGTTCTGACCTGGATGGCGCTCAAAGTGACTCTCAAACGTGAAAAGATTTCTTTTTCTCAGAGGTTACATAACTGCTGAATGGGAATTATAAATTGTTCATGTTTGTTAATTTTTCTGCAGGCTTCTGGAAGGCCACCTGCCCCCCATCATGCGCCAGCCCCCTGCTGGTTTTTGTCAACTCTAAAAGCGGCGACAACCAGGGGGTTAAATTTCTCCGGCGCTTCAAGCAGCTCCTCAACCCGGCCCAAGTCTTCGACCTGGTCAACGGCGGTCCCCACCTGGGGTGAGACACAGACCCGGCGGGTTCTCCTGCTCTCAGACGTGGGGCGGCGCCCTGCCTTACTGGGAATTACATCACGTGTTTCTCTGTCAGTTTGCGGCTGTTTCAGAAGTTCGACAACTTCCGGATCCTGGTGTGCGGAGGGGACGGCAGCGTGGGATGGGTTCTGTCCGAGATCGACAAGCTCAATCTGCACAAACAGGTGAGAACCAAGAGTCATGATGAGATTTCTATCAACGTAGCAAACAGGACGCAGACTGAGAGAAAGAAACGAGCATCCTGAGAGGACAGAAAGTACCCACCAGGAGGAAGAAAAATGTAATATTTATCCCCCTTTAAACCAGTGTTGTTTTAGTCAATGATAATAAAATTATTTAATTAATGCTCCTTTTTTAATGACGATAACGAGAACCGAGGAGATAAACATGGATCCATGACAAAAACATGACGGGTCATGGGTGTGAGTTTTCGTTGACGAGACTAAGCGGGTGGTCTATTAGACGTTTAAAGTCTCAGGGAAATCTTATTTAAATGGCAAATCATTCTGGTTTAACCCTTTAAAGCCCGATCCAAGAATAAAATAAAACAGAAAATTACTTTTTTTTGGTTTGAAGTCCTTATTTGGCATTTTACCAAAATGTGTAAAAAGAAAAAACAGAAATACATTTTTGATATTAATAATTTATTACTATGCGATAAGTCAAGATTATTTTTTGTGTAGTCTTCTACTGGCTGTTATCAGGTATATCTGATTGTGTACAATAGGATTTTGAGCAAAGTTTTTACCATTAAATTATGCAAAAGGTGTCAGACGCAAAACATTTCAGAAACCGTATGTATCAAATATTTGGCATTACAGGGTTAAACATGTATATAAATGTTCTCTTTATCAGACCTTATTTGTAAAATTTCTATATAAAAAAAAAAAAATCCTTTATTTTTTTCTGTTATCTTCTGCAGGCCAGTTAGTTCTACGTCAGCCTGAACACCTAAATTCGGCCAATCATATATCAACGGTCATCTGTCAATCAAATATTTTCGGTCATAGCATCTTGATTCATGTGTCGCAGCTAATATACGCAACGGTTGAAATCAGAATCCTTTCCTTTCCCATTGAGTTCCATCTGGAATGGAATTTCCCATTGGGAACCTGCTAGCACTAAGTTGCTAACTGGTTAGCAAGATGCTTCCGACAAACCGGCCACAACCAAACTTGCTTGCAAACCTTCCACCACAACAATCCCGCCCCCTTGATAATCGACCAATCAAATTCACTTTATTCACTCAGTCGGGCACAACTCGGGAGAATTCGGAACGGCTGCTTCCCTACGACTTTAAAATGCATCATTGTCCTGTAATCTAAGCAGTATCAGCCGTGCTGCAGGTATGTGGTGACACCCACCTGGCGTTGCTCATTCTGCAGCAGCTCAGATGGATCATGGCAGCAGGGAGAAAATAACCCAGAATGATCCGGTACGGCGCGCTGAACTCTGACTAACTCTGATCTTCCAGCTGTGCAGAAATGCGTCGTTAGCTCGGAGTCTGCACTTTACGCTCCGCTCTGATGCTTCGCTCTCAGCAGTACAGCTCCTCCTGCTGTCGCTACTTAATAAACTAGATGTGGCTGATCATCCTCTGCCAAGCGTAAAGAATCCCTTTGTCTAACTATCTAGATTTTATTTCTTCCAGCTCACAGGAGGTGATGCTAAACATTCCTTCATTTCTACCAACAGGAATCCCTAAATTATATCCAGAGCAAATATTTTATTGCTTTCTGTTTATTTCTGGATAAAGATCCAGATGAAAAGGTTCATAGATCTTTGAATATTTCTCTCATTGTTCTCATTTATATCTATTTAAATATGATGTAAATGTTTCCTTGTATTTTCATTAATACATTTTCTCTTTTTCCTTTAAATATTTCAACGTTTTAGATAACATATTCATTCATTTAGGGCTGGGTTGCCATGGCGTTACAAGGCAGTTATGGAGGATCTCTGTATTTTTTATATCAAACCCTGTGAATTTAAATCTACTTTGACTCCTGAGCAGCAGGAACCGAGGGGCAGATTGAAGAAATAAATGACCAAATAGAAAGAAGAATGTTTTTGTTCTTTGCTTCTTTGCAGTTATGCAGATTTTATAGATCTGTGTTTAATGCAGAATTCATAGCAGATCAGGAAGTGTTTGCTTTGGGATGGAAACCTTGGATGATAAAATCATTCCTTTATTGGACATTCTGTTAGCTTCTGTCTGCTATATTAACCAATAGGATGTGTTGAACTAGAACTGCTATTTTTAGCTTTTGTGAGACAATTTTTATAAAGTAGGGCATAAAACTGACATTTTTAAGTGTTAGTTGACTAAAATGTGAATAAAACTAACTAGATGGCTGTTAGAAACAACATGGCTTTAAACTTCGACACTTTGTTGAAAACGTAAACATCCCTGGAAATGACAGCCGCGCTAGCTTCATCTGTCATATGCTACGTTCAGACCGAACGCAGCAGGAGCAGCAAAAACGCACGTGCTGCTTTATTTTTGATGCTTTTACAGGTTTAGTTCTTTTTCTAATTTTTCTTTTTTTTCTTTTTTTTTTTACAGTGTCCTGTTTGGCAATAAGGCAAAAAGAATAATTCTCTTGATGCCAAAAAGAGCCCAACAGATTTTACTTTCACCAGTGGAGCATTACGGCTATCGCCATAGTGTTCCTCTTGATTAATGCATATAAATAGCTTTATTATAATTATGCTACCCAATCCTTTCTTTGCCTGGAACAATGGCGGATGAAATCCAGAGAGTCGTTTGGCTATTTTTAATGAATAATGCTACGTTCAGGCCGCTAGTGCTGGAAGCAACAAAGAAGCTTCTGCTTCATTTCTGACGCTTGTCCACATTAAGGTCAGACGTCCAGTAAAGATGATCCAGATGCTCAGAAGCTCATGACGCGCTGCTCCTGTTGCTCTAGACGCTGCAGGACCTTTAGATGTATCTTTTTGCGCGTCACCCATTGACTTTGCATGTAAACCTGCTGCTTCTGCTGCTTGCAGCCTGCATCAGGTCTTATTTCTAGTGGACATTTTTAGAGTAAAAAGCACCAGATAACCTTTGAAAACCAGTTTCCATTTCTGACTGGAAGGCCGCCATTACTGCAGGCGGCTAACAGGAAGAGGTTTGGTTCTATTTGCATCTCTTTCTTTATGAATATGAAACCTCAGAATCAAGGTAAAGGTCCACGTTCTCCATTTCTCTTAGGCTAGCAACGGCCCCAAACGGGACAGTCGGGTCTTAGCATGTTGTTTTGATTGAAGAGGCATGAACGTGCACCAATCAGCTAACGTGGACGCCGATCCACCCTCTGCCTGCCTTTCAGTGCCAGCTGGGGGTGCTGCCCCTCGGCACCGGCAACGACCTGGCCCGGGTGCTGGGCTGGGGCCCGTCCTGCGACGACGACACCCAGCTGCCCCAGATCCTGGAGAAACTGGAGCGGGCCAGCACTAAGATGCTGGACCGCTGGAGCATCATGACCTATGAGATCAAGATCCCACCGAAGCACAGCTGCCCCGCCACGCCAGAGGGAGCCCACGACTGCCAGGTACTGCCTAACAGAGCGACCGCAGCGGGACGGCCAGGCAGACATGGCACCTGATGTTTCTCTCTGCTCATTTCTGCCCCAGTTTCACATCTTAGCCTACGAAGACTCTGTGGTCAGCCACCTGACCAAGATCCTCAACTCAGAGCAGCACTCTGCCGTCATCTCCTCTGCCAAGTAAGTTCTTAGCGCCTCCATTTCAATGGAGACACACTAAAAGCTGTAGTCCTGTGTCTGTTGTACCAGAAGCAGAATTTACTGCTGTACCTGAACGCAACACACCTGCAACAGCAGGTAATGAAAAGGAAAATCAGACAGATTATTGAGCCCAGAGTGAAAAGCAGTGAAACAGTGATAGTGCACTTTAGAGACATACCATCCATCGCCTGTTTAGGGGCAGCGTAGTTGTTTTTATGGGTCACCGCCTGCATGTGTTCAGCTCTTCATCGCTGAATTCAGCTGCCTGGCTCTGATGTACTGCAGCCTCCAACATTCAGATCAACTGTTAAGGTTTTTGGTTTCATTTGATAATATTTGTTGAAAAATCATCTCCAAAAAGTCCTGAACAACCATGAGGATTGATTACTCTGATGTAACGATAATCAGATAAAAAACGATGCATCGGTCCGGCCTTATGTAGTACCCCCCCCCGCCACCAAATCCCACCAGCGCCAGTGAAAGCCACTGGTGGGATTTGGTGGCGCCATCTTGGTGCGGTCGACAGCTCCGCTCAATGTAATGTGTTGAGCAGGAACAAAATCAATTTTAATCCCCTTTAACTTTCTGAATATTTAACTAATTTTCACAGTTTTTTTTTTTTTTTGGCTGAAAACAAACAAATGGTTCAGTTTATTTACTAATTCTTAGTGTGGTTAACAGCAATAGAATATTCTGTTTATTTTCTGTTTTTCCTGTTCTTCTTTTTCCTCCAGAGGTGTGTGTGTGTTTTTTCACTACTAATGTTCTCTCACTATGTTTCACTACTGGAGGTGTTTTCTTTGTTCCTGAAAACGTGGGAACTGTAGATGAAAAATTGGCATTCTTATTTACAGAAATACACTATTATGCTTTGTGCCTGTAATAAAAAAAAGAGTAATAAAATATTATGATAGGATGGATGCATGTTGCAAACATTTATATACATTTATATATATTTATTACTAAAAACACAAACATACATGGTATACACAGATATATATGCACATCCTTCTATCTATCTATCTATCTATCTATCTATCTATCTATCTATCTATCTATCTATCTATCTATCTATCTATCTATCTATATCTATATAGATAGATAGATAGATGATAGATAGATAGATAGATAGATAGATAGATAGATAGATAGATAGATAGATAGATAGATAGATAGATAGATAGATAGATGATAGATAGATAGATAGATAGATAATGTGTATATATGCTGTTTATGTCATTCAAAGGTCTGATTACTCCACAAAGTTATCCATCGAACCGTCCGTCGCCGTATTTTTTCAAACAAAATACGGTGCAGCACTGAAGCGTTCTTCTTCTGTTCTGGTTAAACCAGCAGCTTAGAGGAACAGGGCGACCTCCCCAAGATGGCTCCTGTAATTCCTGCTCTGCAACAGTCAATGCGGGGTCTTCTCTTCTGTTATGTCGATGTGACAAACAGCCCAAAGGATTCTGGGGTTTTTTTTTTACTGGAAATGCTTTGTACTCCTCAGGATCCTGTGTGAAACCATAAAGGATTTTATTGCCAAAGTGGGGAAAGCGTACGAGAAAAGCACTGAGAACGTGGAGGAGTGCGACTCCATGTCCCTCAAAGTAAGTCTGTGAAAACAGAATCTCTTCTTCTTTCTGTTTGTTAATGTTTCAGTTTAGAATGTTGTGACGTCGGTTCATCTCTTTTCGTCCTGTTAGCTGATGAACGAGCTCAGTGTCTAAAGCCTCTAGCTGTGTTTTAGTTTCATCGTTTCCAGCAGCAGGACGGCTTTTACCAGCTGGATCAAGCTCACCTATAAAAACGGACAATGAAACTTTTCAAATTCTTCTTTTCCATTTGAAGTCATTAGTGGTCTATAAGTGGAGCTGCAAAACTTTGGTCTGAATTTAACGGCCCCTGGTCTAAACCCCGCCCCCTTTCAGGTAGCAGAGCGTCCATTTCATCCTGTTGGACAAGATATGTTGTTTAATAGTAGAGATGCGATATTCTAGCAGCACAGAAACGTCTTTTTCAGAAGTTTGTTCAAACGAATCAACAACAGGAGAGTTTTTAAATCAAGTCAGACAGAAAAATATAATTACCTCAAATCAGTTCAACGATTTTCTCTGCAGGATAAATGAAGAATTCACAGTAACTTAAGCTGGATGTCAAGATACCTTATAAAGTTTAAATCCAAAGTGCTTGAAAGGAAGAATGTTTATCCCTTTAAACACTGCAAAAAATTGAAATCTAAATAAGTCATTTTTTCTTGCAATAAGTGCATTTTTTCTTGAATTGAGGAGGTACTTGAGACACTTTGCCAATGGAACAAGACAATTTACATTTAAAATAAGAAAACACTATTGCATTGTCTTATTTCAAGTGCATATTATCTAATTGTCTTATTTTAAGACTTAGAATACTCATTCCATTGGCAAATTATTTTATTTACCTACTCAAATTAATGGTATATACACTTAATTTAAGACATTTTTTCTCAATTTTAGGTGGTTTTTGCAGTGTAGAGCTGATGCACTGCTAAGTACAAAGAGGATGTATGTACCCATAAACAATAGATTTAACCAGACGCACGGCGGTCTGATGCTGGGGGGGGCGCCGTAACGCACAGAGGAAGCAGACCGTCTACTTTCATTGTTGCTTCAGCGTCCTTCAACTTCATGAGCAAATACTGCAAATTAACAAATCTGAACCCAAAAATCATCTAAATAGATCCAAACTGGACCTGAAGGGTCGAATGCTGCGTTCACACCTCGATTTCACAGCAAAGAAGCTTCTGCTGCTTCATTTCTGATCCACATTAAGGTCAGACGTCCAGTAAAGTGAGTCCAGATGTGTCTCATGCTTCTGCTTCTAAAGACGAGGGAAAAATTTTTGATACACTAAAATATCCCAATATCTTCATATGCTGATATATTGCCATTTAAAAACATCATATCAATCTCTTTTACTAATGAAATATTGCTATATGTCATCGTTATGCTACGAAATCCCCCGAAAATTCACCAAATGTTGCCATATTTTTATATGTTGATATATTGACGCGGTATCGATCTATTTTACTAACAAAATCTCACAAGAATTTGCAAAATATCACGAGAGTTTGTAACAGAACGATGAAATTTCACGAGATTTTGAAGGTAAAATAGGTCAATACCGCGTTTTTAAAAATCAATTTGATATCAGCATATGAAAATATATTTGAGTATATTATTTTTCAAAGTGTCAGAAATGGATAAAAAAAACTGCTATTTTCAATGACTACTTATTTTTGTCCAGCTTTAACATCGGTATCGATATCGGTTATCGGCTACATGAGTTTTAAAATATCGGCATATCGGATATCGGCCAAAATCCCAATATCGTGCATCCCTAGTTAGAATCTATGTTGAAGTGAGAAAGTCCTCCTGAAAACATGATCTGTGCAGTCAGTTCATCCAGATTACCATCCTGCCTTCAAAGATTATTTCTCTGTGGGAGCCTCTCAGACCCCCACATACCGGCGCTGCGCTGTCACTGGGAATCCCCAGCAGCAGCTGCCTCAGGCCCGCTCGCCTCTCCAGGGTTTTCCCCTCCTGTTGGTGGCGGCTGGAAGTAGATGTTAGCGTTTTTCAGGTCTGTGCTACAAACTGCAGGCAGCAGGATAATAAAAGCCAACATATTCTGCCGGCAGGTTTCTACATTTGAAGTTAATTTAGGCGTTAATAAACTGTTTCAGAGGAGTGATCATAGCGCTCTGCATCAGCAGTGCTGCGTCTGACTCCCTGCCAGCTCCCAGATCAGCTTCTCTCATTTGTTGTTGCGGCGCGTCCAGCAGCTAAAGTTACATTTTTCCAGCAGCTGCTGCTTAACAGTCCTTAGAAGCTCGGAAGCTCAAAATGTGCTGCAGGACCTTTTGCTGCGTCCTGATGCGCGTCAACCATTGACTTTTCATTTAAACCTGCTGCTTCTGCTGCTCAGAGCGCCTGCGATGTGAACGTAGCATAAATGCTAAAACTGAACTGATGTGTAATTTATCGCCTTTAAGGGAGTAAAGGAAAGATGAAACGGATTTGGTACAAAAATACTAGAGATTTTACTTTTAAACATTGTTCTGCCTTAATGTCCCCCCCCCCAGTGCTCCCTCCTGAACGAGAAGCTGGACTCCCTCCTCCAGACTCTTAACGCAGAGTGCCAGTCTCTGCTCCCGCTCCCCCACTGCACCCCCCCCATTGTAGAAGAGGAGCAAGAGGAGGATGAAGACGAGGATGAGGAGGAGGCCAGCGAGGAGAGCCTGACGGAGCCTAAGCGGAAGCTGGAGGAGGAGGAGACGGAGAAAGGAGCAGGAGGAGGCTCCTCGCAGCAGCTGTTCAGGAGCAGGGAGCAGCTGATGCTCCGAGCCGACAGCCTGAAGAAGGCGGTGCGGCAGATCATAGAGCAGGCTGTGAGAGGTGAAGCAGCTGCTGCGCCTTTCACAAGTATTCACACCCCTAATCTGTCAGCTTCACGTTAAAACGTTTAACAGGAAATGTGGGACGCTAGCCGCCTTCCTTCATTTACCAGCTTCTTTATCCCCCAGCATGCTGCTGCCACCACCGTGTTTGAACGGTGTTTTTTCTGACCCAAATGGCTTCATGTCTGTCATTTCCTGTTTCAGTTATAAAAAGGGTGTGAATACTTTTGCAGAGCAGTTCTGGTTATTGTTACTAAACGTGCAGCGCGGCGTTCTCATTCCTCCTGCGTTTCCTGTCATCAGTGGTAGATGACCAGAACGCCCACGCGGATGACACGGAGCTCCCATCGCCCCTAGAGTTCAGGAAGGACAGCGAGGACGAGAACAGGGACAGCGAGAAGGACGAAGACACCAAGGAGCTGGAAGCCATGTCCTGTGAGTGTTTTAAGGTCGGAGGAGGAGAGAACGGAGAGGAGCTGAACGCAGCGCTCTGGGCTGCTCAGGCTCATGGAAAAATGCTCTGCTGACGCAAATCAGACTTCCTGTCATAAATAAAGGCAGAGATCAGAGCTAAAAGGAGAGGAGAGGATCGTTGCTGCTCTAATGTTCCACCTCCTGCTCCAGGCTCAGCTCGCTATCTTCTCATTCTAACTTTCTGCAACTTCTGTTGATTTAGAGAAGATCTTCATAAACCAGATAGAGGCTACAGGTCTGGTTTCTGTTCAGCCATCCCCAGGATTCATTCATTCATTCATTCATTCATTCATTCATTCATTCATTCATTTTTTCATTCATTCAATCTTTCTTTCATTCATTCATGAATTCATTGATTCATTTATTCTTTCTTTCATTCATTCATGAATTCATTGAGTCATTTATTCTTTCATTCATTCATGCATTTATTCATTCATGCATTCATTGAGTAATTTATTCTTTCTTTCATTCATTCATGAATTCATTGAGTCATTTATTCTTTCATTCATTCATGCATTTATTCATTCATGCATTCATTGAGTAATTTATTCTTTCTTTCATTCATTCATGCATTCATTCATTCATGAATTCATTGAGTCATTTATTCGTTCATTGAGTAATTTATTCTTTCTTTCATTCATTCATGCATTTATTCATTCATGAATTCATTGAGTCATTCATTCGTTCATTGAGTCATTTATTCTTTCTTTCATTAATTCATGAATTCATTCATTCATTGAGTCATTTATTCTTTCATTCATTCATGCATTTATTCATTCATGCATTCATTGAGTAATTTATTCTTTCTTTCATTCATTCATGCATTCATTCATTCATGAATTCATTGAGTCATTTATTCGTTCATTGAGTAATTTATTCTTTCTTTCATTCATTCATGCATTTATTCATTCATGAATTCATTGAGTCATTCATTCGTTCATTGAGTCATTTATTCTTTCTTTCATTAATTCATGAATTCATTCATTCATTGAGTCATTTATTCTTTCATTCATTCATGCATTTATTCATTCATGCATTCATTGAGTAATTTATTCTTTCTTTCATTCATTCATGCATTCATTCATTCATGAATTCATTGAGTCATTTATTCTTTCTTTCATTCATTCATGCATTTATTCATTCATGAATTCATTGAGTCATTCATTCGTTCATTGAGTCATTTATTCTTTCTTTCATTCATTCATGCATTCATTCATTCATGAATTCATTGAGTCATTTATTCTTTCTTTCATTCATTCATGCATTTATTCATTCATGAATTCATTGAGTCATTCATTCGTTCATTGAGTCATTTATTCTTTCTTTCATTAATTCATGAATTCATTCATTCATTGAGTCATTTATTCTTTCATTCATTCGTGCATTTATTCATTCATGCATTCATTGAGTAATTTATTCTTTCTTTCATTCATTCATGCATTCATTCATTCATGAATTCATTGAGTCATTTATTCGTTCATTGAGTAATTTATTCTTTCTTTCATTCATTCATGCATTTATTCATTCATGAATTCATTGAGTCATTCATTCGTTCATTGAGTCATTTATTCTTTCTTTCATTAATTCATGAATTCATTCATTCATTGAGTCATTTATTCTTTCATTCATTCATGCATTTATTCATTCATGCATTCATTGAGTAATTTATTCTTTCTTTCATTCATTCATGCATTCATTCATTCATGAATTCATTGAGTCATTTATTCTTTCTTTCATTCATTCATGCATTTATTCATTCATGAATTCATTGAGTCATTCATTCGTTCATTGAGTCATTTATTCTTTCTTTCATTCATTCATGCATTCATTCATTCATGAATTCATTGAGTCATTTATTCTTTCTTTCATTCATTCATGCATTTATTCATTCATGAATTCATTGAGTCATTCATTCGTTCATTGAGTCATTTATTCTTTCTTTCATTAATTCATGAATTCATTCATTCATTGAGTCATTTATTCTTTCATTCATTCGTGCATTTATTCATTCATGCAGTCATTGAGTAATTTATTCTTTCTTTCATTCATTCATGCATTTATTCATTCATGAATTCATTGAGTCATTTATTCTTTCTTTCATTCATTCTTGTTTTGGTTTAGAAAACATGCAAATATGACAGGTATGGGGCATTGCAGGCTAATAAAGAAGCCAAACGACCCCCATTCCAAAGGGGGGGACCCGTTCATCCGTTTCTATTTGCATGTTTTCTAAACTAAAACCAGGCTTTGTTGGGCTGCTGGATAAAACCTGGAACTAAACGCTATTTCTGACATTTTGGATTGAAAAATCTTCCTGGATGGAAGAGAAACGTCTTCAAACTTGGAAACAAAGTCCAGAGGATTGATTTTAACTTTTTTGGGATGACCCTGTGTTGTGTTTTCGGACCTCCTGGGTTCTGCAGTTCTGTGGAGAACTGAAGGTTTTTTATTTGTGTCTTCAGGTGCAAAGAGTCCCTGTTCTCCGACGGAGAGGAGGGTGAGCCGCAGCACCCAGTCTTATGGCCCCTTCACCATCACCCCCTTCACCACCAGCAAGGAGAACCTCCCTGTGCTCAACACCCGCATCATCTGCCCTGGTAAACCCAAACACACACAAACAGGTTGTGCTTCAGGAGCTGCAGCCGGTTCACCCATGGAGGTTTGGTTTATGTGCAGGCCTGCGAGCGGGGCTGGCCGCCTCTATCGCCGGCAGCTCCATCATTAGCAAGATGCTGCTGGCTAACATCGACCCGTTTGGTGCGACTCCCTTCATCGACCCGGACCTGGACTCTCTGTGAGAGCCGCCTGGCCTCCGTCTATACGTCAGCTCCTCCCACTGGCTCCCACTGACCTTGTGTCTCTTTGTGGCAGAGAGGGCTACATGGAGAAGTGCGTCATGAACAACTACTTTGGCATCGGCCTGGACGCCAAGATCTCGCTGGAGTTCAACAACAAGAGGGAGGAGCATCCAGAGAAATGCAGGTGAGGCGCATTTCTCCTGAAATCCACGTTTCAACAGTTGATTCACATTCATAATGAGGATTTTATAATAAATATTTACCAATTGCACCACCTGCACCCTCCTAACAGAAGTCGTACAAAGAACATGATGTGGTACGGTGTTTTGGGCACTAAAGAGCTGCTGCAGAGAACTTACAAGAACCTGGAGCAAAAGGTCCAGCTGGAGGTGAGGCAAACCATGACAGCAGGTTTATTTAGCAATTATCGGCTGTCGTATGAGTTCGCTAGCTTCCCACGTAAGGAGGAAAACGTTTCTTGTGCGTCCTCGTGTCCTCGTGAAACGTCATCATCCTCAGCCCTAGCACTGTTCCAATTCACAAGAACTGCAGACCGAGAATGGACAAAGTCCACGGATGTTGTTCTGGCCCCTCCCTCTTCCCCAGCATGCATCAGAACAGACTTGTCCGTTCTCCAGACTGACAGCTGTCCCAGCATGCACTGCAGCAGCAGCAGCTTCCACTTTAGCGCTCACAGAGCTCAGAGTAATAAGTTAATTGTTCCCTTTTCTGTTGCTGTTGTTCAATAAAAGTACGTTTTAAGATCATTTGAGGCGAGAAGATTATACTTTAAGCTGCAACCAGCAGAGCTAACTGGCTGCAGTTATCCTCGGGCTAACGTTAGCCCGTCTGCAGAGGCCAGGGATTATACTTTAATCCCTGCAGATTATACTTTAAGCTGCAACCAGCAGAGCTAACTGGCTGCAGTTATCCTCGGGCTAACGTTAGCCCGTCTGTAGCGGCCGGGGCTAACGTTAGCCCGTCTGCAGCAGCCGGGGCTAACGTTAGCCCGTCTGCAGAGGCCAGGGATTATACTTTAATCCCTGCAGATTATACTTTAAGCTGCAACCAGCAGAGCTAACTGGCTGCAGTTATCCTCGGGCTAACGTTAGCCCCTCTGCAGCGGCCGGGGCTAACGTTAGCCCGTCTGCAGCGGCCGGGGCTAACGTTAGCCCGTCTGCAGCGGCCAGGGCTAACGTTAGCCCGTCTGCAGCGGCCAGGGCTAACGTTAGCCCATCTGCAGCGGCCAGGGATAACATTAGCCCGTCTGCAGCGGCCAGGGCTAACGTTAGCCCGTCTGCAGCGGCCGGGGCTAACGTTAGCCCATCTGCAGCGGCCGGGGCTAACATTAGCCTGTCTGCAGCAGCCAGGGCTAACGTTAGCCCATCTGCAGCGGCCAGGGCCAACGTTAGCCCGTCTGCAGCGGCCAGGGCTAACGTTAGCCCGTCTGCAGCGGCCAGGGCTAACGTTAGCCCGTCTGCAGCGGCCGGGGCTAACGTTAGCCCATCTGCAGCGGCCGGGGCTAACATTAGCCCGTCTGCAGCAGCCAGGGCTAACGTTAGCCCATCTGCAGCGGCCAGGGCCAACGTTAGCCCGTCTGCAGCGGCCAGGGCTAACGTTAGCCCGTCTGCAGCGGCCAGGGCTAACGTCAGCCCGTCTGCAGCGGCCGGGGTTAACATTAGCCTGTCTGCAGCGGCCAGGGCTAACGTTAGCCCGTCTGCAGCGGCCGGGGCTAACGCTAGCCCGTCTGCAGCAGCCAGGGCTAACGTTAGCCCATCTGCAGCGGCCAGGGATAACATTAGCCCGTCTGCAGCGGCCAGGGCTAACGTTAGCCCGTCTGCAGCGGCCGGGGCTAACGTTAGCCCATCTGCAGCGGCCAGGGCTAACATTAGCCCGTCTGCAGCAGCCAGGGCTAACGTTAGCCCGTCTGCAGCAGCCAGGGCCAACGTTAGCCCGTCTGCAGCGGCCAGGGCTAACGTTAGCCCGTCTGCAGCGGCCAGGGCTAACGTTAGCCCGTCTGCAGCGGCCGGGGCTAACGTTAGCCCATCTGCAGCGGCCGGGGCTAACATTAGCCCGTCTGCAGCAGCCAGGGCTAACGTTAGCCCATCTGCAGCGGCCAGGGCCAACGTTAGCCCGTCTGCAGCGGCCAGGGCTAACGTTAGCCCGTCTGCAGCGGCCAGGGCTAACGTCAGCCCGTCTGCAGCGGCCGGGGTTAACATTAGCCTGTCTGCAGCGGCCAGGGCTAACGTTAGCCCGTCTGCAGCGGCCGGGGCTAACGCTAGCCCGTCTGCAGCAGCCAGGGCTAACGTTAGCCCATCTGCAGCGGCCAGGGATAACATTAGCCCGTCTGCAGCGGCCAGGGCTAACGTTAGCCCGTCTGCAGCGGCCGGGGCTAACGTTAGCCCATCTGCAGCGGCCAGGGCTAACATTAGCCCGTCTGCAGCAGCCAGGGCTAACGTTAGCCCGTCTGCAGCAGCCAGGGCCAACGTTAGCCCGTCTGCAGCGGCCAGGGCTAACATTAGCCCGTCTGCAGCAGCCAGGGCTAACGTTAGCCCATCTGCAGCGGCCAGGGCCAACGTTAGCCCGTCTGCAGCGGCCAGGGCTAACGTTAGCCCGTCTGCAGCAGCCAGGGCCAACGTTAGCCCGTCTGCAGCGGCCAGGGCTAACGTTAGCCCGTCTGCAGCGGCCAGGGCTAACGTCAGCCCGTCTGCAGCGGCCGGGGTTAACATTAGCCTGTCTGCAGCGGCCAGGGCTAACGTTAGCCCGTCTGCAGCGGCCGGGGCTAACGTTAGCCCATCTGCAGCGGCCGGGGCTAACATTAGCCCGTCTGCAGAAGCCAGGGCTAACGTTAGCCCATCTGCAGCAGCTAGGGCCAACGTTAGCCCGTCTGCAGCGGCCAGGGCTAACGTTAGCCCGTCTGCAGCGGCCAGGGCTAACGTCAGCCCGTCTGCAGCGGCCAGGGCTAACGTTAGCCCGTCTGCAGCAGCCCTCTCTCTGCATAGCCGTGTGTGAAGGACTGCTGGCTCTGATGGAGGTTTTTTTTTTTTTATTTGGCAAAATGTTAATTTGATTTGTGTTTATCTGACTGTGTTCATTATTATTCCCCCAATAAATGAAAAAAGTCATCATTTATTATTATCTAGAGATTATTAATAACAGGAGGTGAAATGCAGCTCCAGGCTAGCTTTGAATGTGGTGATGTCATCAATACGCTTCAGTTCTAATTGATACAGATTTATTCTGCGTGCTCCCGTTCTCTTCGAGTCCAGACTTTCCTGAGTTCTTCGCAAGAACAGACTTGGCGAGGATACGAGTCCGTGCTCCCATTCTTGTGAATTGGGAAAAAGACTTTGTGAGAATGAAGAAATGGAGCGCTCATCTGTTCCATTAGTATCAGTGTGTCAGGCTGCCATCTTCATCAGTGCAGACTGAGCATCTGCATCACTTCGCATGAGTTTAAGTCCCTTTGTCATCTGACTTTGCTCATTTTTACTGTTTTTACTGTTAAAGCTTGTTTTATATGAAATCTTTAGAAAAACTGAGCTTTAAGGTAGTCGGATGTGAAGGTTTTCCAAACGACCCACTAATCCAACCAATGAAAGCTAACCAACAGCAGTTAGTGTCTTACTCTGCTTAAATGCAATGGGACCAAATTCTTCTGCCTCTATTATAATAGCAGTTATTCTGAAAATATAATTATTTTACCTGCCTTGGTGTGAAATAAAGATATACTGTAACCGAATCCTTTAGAGCAGCGGTCCCCAACCTTTTTTGCACCACGGACCGCTACATGACAGACAATATTTTCACGGACCGGCGGGGGGGGTGGGAGTGCGCTGATGCGGCGGCGGACCGTTTTTTACTTGATCGTATTTACCCAAACCACATTCCCCTCATTGAACCTCATTTTGGCAGGTTCATAATTTATTATACCGTATTTTTTTTTAAACTGACAAAGTTCCACCTGCAGCCCAGCTTCCTGTTTCTCCTTGCAGTGTGACGGCCAGTACATCCCTCTGCCCAGCCTTCAGGGCATCGCTGTGTTGAACATTCCCAGCTACGCAGGTGGAACCAATTTCTGGGGCGGCACCAAAGAGGACGATGTGAGTGTTTATGGTCTGTCTGAAGCGCGGAGGTTTTCCTTTGCTGTGTTTCTGTTGCTTCCTGCAGTCTGTGTTTCTGTTGCTTCCTGCAGTCTGTGTTTCAGTTGCTTCCTGCAGTCTGTGTTTCTGTTGCTTCCTACAGTCTGTGTTTCTGTTGCTTCCTGCAGTCTGTGTTTCTGTTGCTTCCTACAGTCTGTGTTTCTGTTGCTTCCTACAGTCTGTGTTTCTGTTGCTTCCTGCAGTCTGTGTTTCTGTTGCTTCCTACAGTCTGTGTTTCTGTTGCTTCCTACAGTCTGTGTTTCTGTTGCTTCCTGCAGTCTGTGTTTATGTTGCTTCCTGCAGTCTGTGTTTCTGTTGCTTCCTGCAGTCTGTGTTTCTGTTGCTTCCTACAGTCTGTGTTTCTGTTGCTTCCTGCAGTCTGTGTTTCTGTTGCTTCCTGCAGTCTGTGTTTCTGTTGCTTCCTACAGTCTGTGTTTCAGTTGCTTCCTGCAGTCTGTGTTTCTGTTGCTTCCTACAGTCTGTGTTTCTGTTGCTTCCTGCAGTCTGTGTTTCTGTTGCTTCCTACAGTCTGTGTTTCAGTTGCTTCCTGCAGTCTGTGTTTCTGTTGCTTCCTACAGTCTGTGTTTCTGTTGCTTCCTGCAGTCTGTGTTTCTGTTGCTTCCTACAGTCTGTGTTTCAGTTGCTTCCTGCAGTCTGTGTTTCTGTTGCTTCCTACAGTCTGTGTTTCTGTTGCTTCCTACAGTCTGTGTTTCTGTTGCTTCCTGCAGTCTGTGTTTCTGTTGCTTCCTGCAGTCTGTGTTTCTGTCGCTTCCTGCAGTCTGTGTTTCTGTCGCTTCCTGCAGTCTGTGTTTCTGTCGCTTCCTGCAGTCTGTGTTTCTGTTGCTTCCTGCAGTCTGTGTTTCTGTTGCTTCCTACAGTCTGTGTTTCAGTTGCTTCCTGCAGTCTGTGTTTCTGTTGCTTCCTACAGTCTGTGTTTCTGTTGCTTCCTGCAGTCTGTGTTTCTGTTGCTTCCTACAGTCTGTGTTTCAGTTGCTTCCTGCAGTCTGTGTTTCTGTTGCTTCCTACAGTCTGTGTTTCTGTTGCTTCCTACAGTCTGTGTTTCTGTTGCTTCCTGCAGTCTGTGTTTCTGTCGCTTCCTGCAGTCTGTGTTTCTGTCGCTTCCTGCAGTCTGTTTTTCAGTTGCTTCCTGCAGTCTGTGTTTCTGTTGCTTCCTGCAGTCTGTGTTTCTGTCGCTTCCTGCAGTCTGTGTTTCTGTCGCTTCCTGCAGTCTGTGTTTCTGTCGCTTCCTGCAGTCTGTGTTTCAGTTGCTTCCTGCAGTCTGTGTTTCTGTTGCTTCCTGCAGTCTGTGTTTCTGTCGCTTCCTGCAGTCTGTGTTTCTGTCGCTTCCTGCAGTCTGTGTTTCTGTCGCTTCCTGCAGTCTGTGTTTCTGTCGCTTCCTGCAGTCTGTGTTTCTGTTCTTCCTACAGTCTGTGTTTCTGTTGCTTCCTGCAGTCTGTGTTTCTGTTGCTTCCTGCAGTCTGTGTTTCTGTTGCTTCCTGCAGTCTGTGTTTCTGTTGCTTCCTGCAGTCTGTGTTTCTGTTGCTTCCTACAGTCTGTGTTTCTGTTGCTTCCTACAGTCTGTGTTTCTGTTGCTTCCTGCAGTCTGTGTTTCTGTTGCTTCCTACAGTGTGTGTTTCTTTTGCTTCCTACAGTCTGTGTTTCTGTTGCTTCCTGCAGTCTGTGTTTCTGTTGCTTCCTGCAGTCTGTGTTTCTGTTGCTTCCTGCAGTCTGTGTTCCTGTCGCTTCGTGCAGTCTGTGTTTGTGTTGCTTCCTGCAGTCTGTGTTTCTGTTGCTTCCTGCAGTCTGTGTTTCTGTCGCTTCCTGCTGTCTGTGTTTCTGTCGCTTCCTGCAGTCTGGGTTTCAGTTTCTTCCTGCAGTCTGTGTTTCTGTCGCTTCCTACAGTCTGTGTTTCTGTTGCTTCCTGCAGTCTGTGTTTCTGTTGCTTCCTGCAGTCTGTGTTTCTGTCGCTTCCTGCAGTCTGTGTTTCAGTTTCTTCCTGCAGTCTGTGTTTCTGTTGCTTCCTGCAGTGTGTGTTTCTGTCGCTTCCTGCAGTCTGTGTTTCTGTCGCTTCCTGCAGTCTGTGTTTCAGTTTCTTCCTGCAGTCTGTGTTTCTGTCGCTTCCTGCAGTCTGTGTTTCTGTTGCTTCCTGCAGTCTGTGTTTCTGTTGCTTCCTGCAGTCTGTGTTTCAGTTTCTTCCTGCAGTCTGTGTTTCTGTCGCTTCCTGCAGTCTGTGTTTCTGTTGCTTCCTGCAGTCTGTGTTTCTGTTGCTTCCTGCAGTCTGTGTTTCTGTTGCTTCCTGCAGTCTGTGTTTCTGTTGCTTCCTGCAGTCTGTGTTTCTGTTGCTTCCTACAGTCTGTGTTTCTGTCGCTTCCTGCAGTCTGTGTTTCTGTCGCTTCCTGCAGTCTGTGTTTCTGTCGCTTCCTGCAGTCTGTGTTTCAGTTGCTTCCTGCAGTCTGTGTTTCTGTTGCTTCCTGCAGTCTGTGTTTCTGTTGCTTCCTACAGTCTGTGTTTCTGTTGCTTCCTGCAGTCTGTGTTTCTGTCGCTTCCTGCAGTCTGTGTTTCTGTTGCTTCCTGCAGTCTGTGTTTCTTTTGCTTCCTGCAGTCTGTGTTTCTGTCGCTTCCTACAGTCTGTGTTTCTGTTCTTCCTACAGTCTGTGTTTCTGTCGCTTCCTACAGTCTGTGTTTCTGTTCTTCCTACAGTCTGTGTTTCTGTTGCTTCCTGCAGTCTGTGTTTCTGTTGCTTCCTGCAGTCTGTGTTTCTGTCGCTTCCTGCAGTCTGTGTTTCTGTCGCTTCCTGCAGTCTGTGTTTCTGTTGCTTCCTACAGTCTGTGTTTCTGTTGCTTCCTGCAGTCTGTGTTTCTGTTGCTTCCTACAGTGTGTGTTTCTGTTGCTTCCTACAGTCTGTGTTTCTGTTGCTTCCTGCAGTCTGTGTTTCTGTTGCTTCCTACAGTCTGTGTTTCTGTTGCTTCCTGCAGTCTGTGTTTCTGTTGCTTCATGCAGTCTGTGTTTCTGTCGCTTCCTGCAGTCTGTGTTTCTGTCGCTTCCTGCAGTCTGTGTTTCTGTTGCTTCCTACAGTCTGTGTTTCTGTTGCTTCCTACAGTCTGTGTTTCTGTCGCTTCCTGCAGTCTGTGTTTCTGTTGCTTCATACAGTCTGTGTTTCTGTTGCTTCCTGCAGTCTGTGTTTCTGTTGCTTCCTGCAGTCTGTGTTTCTGTCGCTTCCTGCAGTCTGTGTTTCTGTCGCTTCCTGCAGTCTGTTTTTCAGTTGCTTCCTGCAGTCTGTGTTTCTGTTGCTTCCTACAGTCTGTGTTTCTGTCGCTTCCTACAGTCTGTGTTTCTGTTGCTTCCTGCAGTCTGTGTTTCTGTCGCTTCCTGCAGTCTGTGTTTCTGTTGCTTCCTGCAGTCTGTGTTTCTGTCGCTTCCTGCAGTCTGTGTTTCTGTCGCTTCCTGCAGTCTGTGTTTCTGTCGCTTCCTGCAGTCTGTGTTTCAGTTGCTTCCTGCAGTCTGTGTTTCTGTTGCTTCCTACAGTCTGTGTTTCTGTTGCTTCCTGCAGTCTGTGTTTCTGTTGCTTCCTGCAGTCTGTGTTTCTGTCGCTTCCTACAGTCTGTGTTTCTGTTGCTTCCTGCAGTCTGTGTTTCTGTCGCTTCCTGCAGTCTGTGTTTCTGTCGCTTCCTGCAGTCTGTGTTTCAGTTGCTTCCTGCAGTCTGTGTTTCAGTTGCTTCCTGCAGTCTGTGTTTCTGTTGCTTCCTACAGTCTGTGTTTCTGTTGCTTCCTGCAGTCTGTGTTTCTGTTGCTTCCTACAGTCTGTGTTTCTGTTGCTTCCTACAGTCTGTGTTTCTGTTGCTTCCTGCAGTCTGTGTTTCTGTCGCTTCCTGCAGTCTGTGTTTCTGTCGCTTCCTGCAGTCTGTGTTTCTGTCGCTTCCTGCAGTCTGTGTTTCAGTTGCTTCCTGCAGTCTGTGTTTCAGTTGCTTCCTGCAGTCTGTGTTTCTGTTGCTTCCTGCAGTCTGTGTTTCTGTCGCTTCCTGCAGTCTGTGTTTCTGTCGCTTCCTGCAGTCTGTGTTTCTGTTGCTTCCTACAGTCTGTGTTACTGTTGCTTCCTGCAGTCTGTGTTTCTGTTGCTTCCTACAGTCTGTGTTTCTGTCGCTTCCTGCAGTCTGTGTTTCTGTCGCTTCCTGCAGTCTGTGTTTCTGTTGCTTCCTGCAGTCTGTGTTTCTGTCGCTTCCTGCAGTCTGTGTTTCAGTTGCTTCCTGCAGTCTGTGTTTCTGTTGCTTCCTACAGTCTGTGTTTCTGTTGCTTCCTGCAGTCTGTGTTTCTGTTGCTTCCTACAGTCTGTGTTTCTGTCGCTTCCTGCAGTCTGTGTTTCTGTCGCTTCCTGCAGTCTGTGTTTCTGTCGCTTCCTGCAGTCTGTGTTTCTGTCGCTTCCTGCAGTCTGTGTTTCTGTCGCTTCCTGCAGTCTGTGTTTCAGTTGCTTCCTGCAGTCTGTGTTTCTGTTGCTTCCTACAGTCTGTGTTTCTGTTGCTTCCTGCAGTCTGTGTTTCTGTTGCTTCCTACAGTCTGTGTTTCTGTCGCTTCCTGCAGTCTGTGTTTCTGTCGCTTCCTGCAGTCTGTGTTTCTGTCGCTTCCTGCAGTCTGTGTTTCTGTCGCTTCCTGCAGTCTGTGTTTCTTTTGCTTCCTGCAGTCTGTGTTTCTGTTGCTTCCTACAGTCTGTGTTTCTGTCGCTTCCTGCAGTCTGTGTTTCTTTTGCTTCCTGCAGTCTGTGTTTCTGTTGCTTCCTGCAGTCTGTGTTTCTGTTGCTTCCTGCAGTCTGTGTTTCTTTTGCTTCCTGCAGTCTGTGTTTCTGTTGCTTCCTACAGTCTGTGTTTCTGTCGCTTCCTGCAGTCTGTGTTTCTTTTGCTTCCTGCAGTCTGTGTTTCTGTTGCTTCCTGCAGTCTGTGTTTCTGTTGCTTCCTACAGTCTGTGTTTCTGTTGCTTCCTGCAGTCTGTGTTTCTGTCGCTTCCTGCAGTCTGTGTTTCAGTTGCTTCCTGCAGTCTGTGTTTCTGTTGCTTCCTACAGTCTGTGTTTCTGTTGCTTCCTGCAGTCTGTGTTTCTGTTGCTTCCTACAGTCTGTGTTTCTGTTGCTTCCTGCAGTCTGTGTTTCTGTCGTTTCCTGCAGTCTGTGTTTCTGTCGCTTCCTGCAGTCTGTGTTTCTGTCGCTTCCTGCAGTCTGTGTTTCTGTCGCTTCCTGCAGTCTGTGTTTCTGTCGCTTCCTGCAGTCTGTGTTTCTGTCGCTTCCTGCAGTCTGTGTTTCTGTCGCTTCCTGCAGTCTGTGTTTCTGTCGCTTCCTGCAGTCTGTGTTTCTGTCGCTTCCTACAGTCTGTGTTTCTGTTCTTCCTACAGTCTGTGTTTCTGTTCTTCCTACAGTCTGTGTTTCTGTTGCTTCCTGCAGTCTGTGTTTCTGTCGCTTCCTGCAGTCTGTGTTTCTGTCGCTTCCTGCAGTCTGTGTTTCTGTCGCTTCCTGCAGTCTGTGTTTCTGTTCTTCCTACAGTCTGTGTTTCTGTCGCTTCCTGCAGTCTGTGTTTCTGTTGCTTCCTGCAGTCTGTGTTTCTGTTGCTTCCTACAGTCTGTGTTTCTGTCGCTTCTTGCAGTCTGTGTTTCTGTTGCTTCCTGCAGTCTGTGTTTCTGTTGCTTCCTGCAGTCTGTGTTTCTGTTGCTTCCTGCAGTCTGTGTTTCTGTTGCTTCCTGCAGTCTGTGTTTCTGTTGCTTCCTACAGTCTGTTTTTCTGTTGCTTCCTGCAGTCTGGTCTTAAGTTTTCTGGGTTTGGTTTTTGTCAACGAAGTTGTTTGAAAACTGCTGATTAATTTTGTTTATAAATGATCCTCTGGCTTGAGTCAGAAGTTTAGACCAATGTCTAAACATTTAGTCTTTTGGCAGCTTTAGTGCTTTAAGTGATACGACTTCAAAAACAAAACCGTCTGACTTTGTATGTTAGTTGTAAACCACCGCAGTGATGCAGTCTGCATGAGAGAACCCTATAAATGTCTGTGATATCCGGTCCTGCTGCAGATCTTCTGTGCTCCATCGTTTGATGATAAGATCCTGGAGGTGGTGGCTGTGTTCGGGAGCATGCAGATGGCCGTATCCAGAGTCATCAAGCTGCAGCATCACCGCATAGCCCAGGTGAGCGGCAGCACCCACAGCAGCAGGAAGTAAAAATCCAGGAACGATACTGATTTCAGTCCTTCTGATTCAGTGTCGGACGGTGAAGATCACCATCCTAGGAGATGAAGGTGTCCCCATCCAGGTGGACGGGGAGGCCTGGATCCAGCCGCCTGGCGTTATCAAGATCCAGCACAAGAACAGAGCGCAGATGCTGACGAGAGACCGGGTGAGGAAGATACCGCGGATCATGTGGATGTTTTAGCTTCAGCCTTTGACTGAACTCTTTCCTGCAGGCGTTTGAGAACACATTAAAGTCATGGGAGGACAAGCTGAAGTACGACAAGCCCCCCCTACGGCCACACCTCTACCCACAGCAGTCTGTGGATCTGGCCACGGAGGAGGAGAACGCCATCATGCAAATGTGCGCCCGTGCTGCGGAAGAACTCATCACGAGGTAAAAGTCATGATGGAAAACATGTGAATCCCTCCCTGAACCCGCTCACTAAGTGTTCTCTCCTTCTGACCACAGGATATGCGAAGCCGCAAAAACCAACGGGCTTTTAGAGCAGGAGCTGGCTCACGCTGTCAACGCTGCTTCTCACGCCATCAACAAAATGCACCCGAAATTCCCCGAGGTGAGCAGTTAACAGGAAGCCGACGGCAGGAAGTGGCAGTGTGCTGCATGGCGTTCCAGTAACAGGATGTGTTCAGTAGTAGCAATTCAAATTTTCCCCACTTTCCTCGGTGGGTCTCCTATAACCAGAGGTCACGGATTAGCGGACCCACCTGCTGGCTAATCCGGACCCAACCTGATTTAAAACATTTATAAATTACCCCATGTTGTCCGACGGCAGTGTCTAATTTCTCTTGCGCCTCTTCTCCTATTAATACGGTAAAGCCCTGGGGAGCGTCCGGCTCCAGGCTGCACGTGATCCAAATGAGCCAATGAGCTGTCAGTCTGGGTTGCTGCTGCTGCTACTTTTAGACACAGCAGGCAAACCTGTGGCAAGCCGGGCGATGGGAAAGAAGGAGAAGACCATGAGAAAAAGAGAGCAGAGAAAGTGTGGACTGCTGGAAGAACTGCGGTGAACTGGTGAAAGAAAAGTGAAATGGCGTGCTCAAAGATGACCCTGCACATTTAGAGGATGTTTGGCTCAACCTGCTGCTGGGAAGCAGGATTCTCCACCATGAACAGAATCAACAATAAATCTGGATCCAGGCTCAAAATGAGCTCCTTGATATGTGCTTGAGAATGGCTTAGTCTCCGGTTAAACCCAGGTTTAAAGCCTTGCAGGGCAGCCTAAAGCCCACTGCCAACATTAAGACAGAAAAAAGAAAGAAAATAACAAACCATCAGTTCAGGTGTTTGAGAAAATATGAGAATCAGGAAATTATCTATAAACCAAACTGAACGATTGTTGTTCTCTACTTAAAATAACACTTTAGATTTTAAAATGGAAACATTTTCTATTTTTTTATTTAAAAAGTCATTGTATAACATGGATGCATAAACACCTGAATTTTATTTCAGTGTTAAATTATGTTTAAAGTAACAGATCACTAAAAATGTCCCTGGACCTTTACTGGTTGATGAATTTCTTTATTTGGACCCCAATAATTTTTAATTGGTTGCGCCTGGTCTAAAATATTCATGATTTTAGGACATTTAGATCTAAAGAGAAGCATCATCTCCTGGTCAGACCCTGCGATTCAGTGACAGGTTGGAGTCAGAGTAAAAACATAAGCATGCCTCGGAGACGGCCAGTGGCTGGAAGTTGGAGGGGATTTGGCTGGCTTTTGGCTGGGTAGGGCCAATTTAAATGGCTGCTACTGTAGATTCTTACTTCTGCAGCCATGTTTAGGAAAAATATCACTCATTATGTAAAAACACCAAAATTTCTCAGTTTGATTCATCAGGACTCAGAAACAACAGCAAGCTTTAATCCTAGTCTGTGGAGAAAGCTCTGACCTTCGGTTCAGTTTATTTCTAAAGCACCAATTCACACTTTAGTTACCTTCTAAATCAGGACTGAATCTCTTTGAGTTTGAAAGGAACTGCCACCATCTAGTGGCAGCCAGGGGAATTACAGTTTTCAGCCTTTCCACCAGAGATGATGATGAAAACCTGTGGATGTAATAACAGAGAGGAGAAGCAGTCCTGTTTCAGTGAATGTTTCAGTGAATGAAAGCTTCTTTCTTTGAAAAGTTAGATTAATTCTGGAAATGAGGAAACAGAAACGCTTTCAGTCGCCTTTATTGGGGAAATTATGCATCTTTCTTTTAGCTCCATGTGTGAACAGATTCCTCACAGCTTCATCTTCTCCCCTAAGATCAGTTTTTGTGTTGCTGTGTCCGTGTTCAGTTTGCTTTAATCCAACGTTGTCTGACATCAGACTGCCGTTCTTCTCCAGAGCCTGACCAGGAACACAGCCATTGAGGTGGCGAGCACCGTCAAGGCGCTTTACAACGAGACCGAGTCTCTCCTGCTGGGACGCGTCTCTCTGGTGAGCGGGGTTAAGATCCTCCTTTGGTTTTTAACGCTGATCCTTTTCGTTAAATGGGTTAACTCCTCTATCTCCCAGCAACTGGACCCACCAGAGGAGGAGCAGCTGTCCAGCGCTCTGCAGAGCCTGGATGTTGAACTGGGCAAACTGGGAGAAATCCCCTGGCTGTACCACATCCTGCAGCCCAACGACGAGGAGGTAAGAAGGCTCAGCTGATCAGCGACCAGACCTGCCTGCTCATAAGCACAGGGCCGGAAACGCAGACAGCACCCAGAGCACAGCAGGAAGTAGGCGCTGCCTTTAAGGGTCATTGGAGCTTCTAAAAGTGGAACCATTCAGTTTAGCTCATCCAAACAGAAAGAGACGCCTCAACTGTTAGTTGTAGAAGGTTGAAAACTTTACCTCCACTTTAAACTCTAAGAAAGACTTATTTGTTTTTAAAAACAAGGAAAATTATAGGGAAGCATAAAAAGCAATAAGTTAAACCAAGAAGCCCAAGAGATGCTCTAATCAGAGATTATTTGGCTAATTCCACATTTTTTGCAATGTGAAATGGTAGCCATTCGAACTTTTCCCACTTTCCTTGATGGGTCCTTGGCTGGTCCTTGGCTGGTCCTTGGCTGGTCCTTGGCTGGTCCTTTGCTAGTCCTTGGCTGGTCCTTGGCTGGTCCTTGGCTGGTCCTTTGCTAGTCCTTGGCTGGTCCTTGGCTGGTCCTTGGCTGGTCCTTGGCTAGTCCTTGGCTGGTCCTTGGCTGGTCCTTTGCTAGTCCTTTGCTAGTCCTTGGCTGGTCCTTGGCTGGTCCTTTGCTAGTCCTTGGCTGGTCCTTGGCTGGTCCTTTGCTAGTCCTTGGCTAGTCCTTGGCTGGTCCTTGGCTGGTCCTTGGCTGGTCCTTTG